TTATTTGGCCCCAAATAATATGGAATTATAACACTCGTTGGGCCAAATTAAAGTTAAAGATAGTAAATAAATAAATATAAAAGTAAGAGTAAATAAATAATAATATTGATAACAATAATAATAATAATAATAATGGGTGTGGTAGTAAAATAAATAATTAATTTTCTGTTGGTATATGATAGAGTGTAATTTAATTAGAGATTAATTTATTTATATATTTATATTAGAAAACTGAGCCAAAGTGTAATTATCTTAAATATTTATTAAAGATAAGTATAAATCCATGTAATTTATGATCAAATCTGGGAAGGGATTTGAGATGCCACAGGCTTTTACCTCTCTATAAATAGGAAGGAGGTGATCAACTATGTAGAAAGAAAAGGGAAAAAAGAGAGGGGGAAGCACGCAAGTTTAAGAACTTATAGTAGGAAGATTGTGATTGTGATTGTGGAGTAAGACTAAGGGTCAATATTAAGGTGACTTATATTATACCTTGAGTTACTATAATATATTTTACGTATGTTTTGATTTAGCATAATTCATTTTATATAAGTTGTATTTTATTAGTTATATTAATACAAGTTATGTTTTATAAATATTTCAGTTACGTGTATTAATTTATGAACTCTATTTGTTTAAAATGAAATTCATGGATATATCTGTTTAAATTTTAAAGAATATTTGACTATAAACCTTATAAATAATTATGTTTTGTACATACCACTACGGGAGTCCCATGCCTTTGGGGGACTTAAATAACCATCGACTTCTGTTTGGTCACTTTGTGACCCTCTATTATCATGGATCTATTGACCTCTGTTTTGTGCGGAAATAAGTGCTACACCATTGTGGGAGCCACCTCTATAATCCATACGAGCCACCTATTGAATCTGTACCACTGTTCTGACTGTCACTCCTGTGACCTATGTTCTGTTATGTTCTATTTAGTATCGTGGTTATGGTTATTTATTTACATAATCTCAATTTTACTACTTAAATGATTATTTGTTCAGACTAAGTTATCTTAAATATTTTAGTTACATAACTATCCATGATTATTTTGTGTCCCTTATACTATTGGCATAATATTTCTCACTCTGCTATGTGCTTATAGCTGTTTACCAATTTTCAGGAAACAATGCAATTCAGAAATAACTTTTAGAAAGTCTTAGATGCGGGGTTGCGGAATAGACACACACAACACTTTTATGATATTTTTATATGTAAATATTGACTTTTTTGGTCAATAAATTTTGTAATAAAAATAAAAGCTCCGATGATTATTTGGTACCCTCACTTAAATATTATTTTCGCTCTCATTTATTTATTTGTTCAAAAATTGACTGGAGATAATTTCAGTTACTGACCATCATGATACTTAATCCTTGGATACGGGAGCGGGTCGTAACAAAATTTGTGTGACGATTTTTTGTATATGTCGCTAAAAATTAATAATTAGTGATTTTTTTCACAATTTTTATAAATTGTTGCTAAAATTTACAATTAGTGACGTTTTTCTGAGACAAATTTTTCAATCTGTCGCTGAAAGTTGAAAATTAGTGACGTATTTTTGTGATGATTTTTTAGAATTATTGCTAAAACTTATAATTAGTGACATTTTTTGTGACAATATTTTCAAACTATTACTGAAAATTAACAATTAATGACTTTTTTTTAACAATGTTTAATGAAAAATATCAATAATTATTATAAGACCTATTAGACAATAAATCCACTTATTAAGACCTACACAGAAGTACCTCTTATTTTTTTTAACAAACAGTAGTTAGTCCGAGAGATAGAGAAGTAGTGCTCATAGTAGTAAGACTCGAAATACCACGTCAAGCATAGTAAGGGAGTATCTCATCGTCTACCAAGTCATTTCCTTTTTTTCAGTGAGTGTCTTCATTTGTTTTTTTTTTTTCTGTATGATGTACTCTATGCTTTTGCATTAGCATGATCTTGTTAGCTGTTATGGTCTCGAAAGTGTGATTTATTTCCAAAATATAAAAAATGCAAACTCAAAAGTAGTCAAAATTATAAAAAATTATTTATATGTATTATATTCTAGATAGTTTCTCAAAATATTCAAAATATTGAATTGTTTAATAATAATAATAATAATAATCAACCACATTTTATATTTTTCTATCATCGCGTATTTTCCCTTATCGAAAGTCATAAAACAGAACCAAACACATAATTGATAACAAATATCATTCTGATTCCTCATGTTTTCATTGTACTTTGTTAAGTATAACAAACAAATAATAAAAACACACAAGAAATAAGCTTTCTTAAGTGTTCATAAAAGAACAATAATAAAATTGAAAATAACGTTGTTTAGTGCAAAGCAAATGCAAATAACAAATTCTAAACATATTTTATCTTTCTTTTGTTATATATATTTTTTTCCCACCCACATTCTATTATGCCTTCCACCAAATATAGCAAACCAAGTTGTTCGAGTGACTTGTAAATACGTTGAATATGAATGTTGATATTTTTTTACTAAATATTTACAAGTATATATACACGCTAAGAATAAAGGATCAATGGTTATTTTAATACACCCTTATATGTTCACGTAACAAAATTATTTGATGTGAAAAACATAAAAAAAAAAAACTTAGGACCATTGAAGGTGAAGATTTAACATCAACATGAAATTAGTAAATATAGAATTATTAGATTTTTAAAGCTATAATCTAGGGGTACTTTTCATGGTTGAGTGCTATCATGCAATATGTATGGAAAGAATAGCAATTTTGGAGACAAAACCTATTGATGGTTGAAGCTACTTTTTTCTATTTTTCATGAAAGTGGGTGAAAGATGCTGATGGACATTATGAAAAACAAGCACAATTATTATATTCACTTGGTCCCACCATTGTTCCTCCATTGTTAATAGTTAGTGAGTTCTGTTTATAAAAATAAAAAAAATAATAATAAAAAAAGTTAGTGAGCTTTCCTAATCTTTTCAATCAATTATTTTATTTATTTATATTTTATAAAGAGCATAAAATAAACCCATATTATTTACTTTTTATTTTATTTTTCTTCTCATGAACTTTGATTTATTTTTCTTCTCATAAACTTTGTTTTAACTAATCCCTGTCTACTTGAGTAAATACAATTCTTTCGTCGTAGAGTGAACAACTTTCAATTCACTTTTTATAATTGGATTATAACTAAGAAATGACTTCTCTCTAATTAAGAAAATATATTTCAAACTATTGTCACTACAACATTTTCTTAGTTTAGTGACATTTAAAAATGTCACAAAACTATTGATTTAATGATATTTTTTAGTTTTGTGACATTTTGAACAAGTGTCATTTGTCTCACATCATAAATAAATAAATAAAAGATAAATTATAAACATATTTTTAAAATTTACTTAAAATCGAATGATTTTGAAAATCAGTTTTTGTCCATTTAAGTTTCTAATTACGTAACAAATTATTTATTTTATTAACAAATTATCTAATCAATTAATAATTTTTAATAATATTATAAATATATTTCAATTAACAATTTATATAATTTTATTAGTGTATAGAAGAGTAGTTAGGAATTTTATTTTTTTATTAATTCTGTTAAATAAAAAATTATAAAAAAATAAAATAAGAATAATTTATATTTAAGTAAATTTAAAAAGATATATTTATAAATTTTAAAATTATAAAAAATAATTCATATTTTAAATATATTAGCCATAAATAAATAAAGTTGACAAATCAGGACTAATATGAACATTAGCCGCAGACTTTGAAAAAACCTAAAATACCAACTCACCTCTAGACTTTCAACTACCAACCCGACGTCGTTCTCAAACCCAAACGACGTAGTTTCCCCGTCTTTTTCTCCAGCACCCCACAGAGTGGTTAGTGCTCTCCAACACAGCCACCTAGTGCTTCAAGTTGTTGTAATTGATAAAGCCTCCGTCTTGGGAGTAGATTGATTTTTTGACTTTTGAGTCGTGATTTAGAGCATTAAATTTGAAGTTTTAAAAACATCATTAATGAGATAGTAATGTAAAGAAAAAAAAAATAAAACAAAACAAAGGCCAACCTATCACATCAATGGTGGGGTCTACATAATGCCATATCATTAGTGATGTATTAGTGATGCTAAATTAGTGGTATGAAGTATTTTTCTTGACTTTTTTAGTTATTTTAGTCTGGATTAAAAAGTTTGTTTGATTTGGAAATGGTTTTTTAACTTTTTGATTTTTTTGACTTTTTTTATGAGAGAGGAATGTGATGACTATGAGTTGGATGTGATATTTTATTTTTTGTGACTAAAATAGTTTATTTTGTCTTTTATGACTAAAATAACTAAAAAAAACCCCGTTTAGCTCTTGCTAAACGGAGCCAAAAAAGATTAGATCTATTATAAATTTGTACCAGATAATTAAAGAATATAAAGATTGATAAATTAAAGAATATAAAAATACATAGCCTTTTTTTGGGAGAGTCGTTTTTGAAAAAATTTTTAGAGAGAGAGTTTAGAAATTTTTTTGGTTTGTTTGGTTGTATATTTTGGGAGAGTTATTTTTTTGAGAGTTTGGGGTGATTTGATATTTTGGAAGAATTTGAGTAGATGTGTGAGAGAGAAAAAGTGATTGAAAATGAGAGAGGAGAGAGAAAAAGTGATTGATTGATGTGTAAGAGAGAGAAAGTGATTTTGAAAATTTTTTGAGAAAAATTCAAACCAAACAATTTTTTAGAAATTTTTTTCTAAAATTCATCTCCTAAATGCAAACCAAACATACCCAATATATATATATATATATATATATACATTTTTTTACAAGTGCTAAAAAAATCAAAAAAAATTTATTCCAAATAAAAATTTTAACCAAATTAAAATCCTTAAAATGACTAAAAATTAAAAAATCAATCCATATTTTAAACAAAACCATAATATATAATGATTAATACGAACATGTCACGCTCTAGTAACATTTAATAATATTTCCAGCCTTACAACCACCCTAGATCTCACCTCAAATACGAAGCTACCAGGTCGGCGCCCTCTTTCTTTCTCTCTCTACTTTCCTGAGCTTTCTTTTCCCCCAAGCAACAAACCGCATCAAATCAACGCATTTAATAACCAAGAAAAATAAAAGAATACAATTTAAATCGCAGCCTTGGTTCTTCTTCTTTCTTCGCCATCTAACGTCGTCGTCTCGTTCTCACCACAGCCCAACGCTCATTCCCCTCCCGAGTCCGAGACGACGACGTTGACGGCGCCAAATCGATGCGAACTGAAAGCTTTGATCATGAGGATTTTGATTCTGCTCACGAATAGGTATAGATCGTCGCTTTCGGAGATGTATTTTGACTTGTATTGTTCTGGATCAGCTCCTTTTTTTTAAAAAAAAAAAAATCAATTTTTTTGCTGTTTCTCAGCTTGAATTTGACAGATCGGTGCTGATTTTGATTTATAGAGCAGTTTGGACGCTTTTGAATTTTTTTTTTTTTGATATAGCATATGATTTGAATTGTTCTGATATATAGAGCAATTTGGATGCTTTTTCATATTTTATTAATTTTTATATACAGTATGTTTACTTTTACATGCATGTATATTGGTTGAAGTGCTCAAGTATTACTCGGCCTGATTTATCATGTAAAGCTCCCAATTTTAGGGTTCGTTTGGAAATTGGCGTTTATAAGGGGTTTTTTGTTTTTTCATTTTTTTTTTTATAATTGTAAAAAGACGTGTGAAAGTATTGAGAATTGATTGACTTTTTGTATTTGATTTTTTTGGCTAAAATTCATAGTTCCCAAACGACCCCGCATGATCAATTTGCTTCTGAATTCATTTTCTCATTGTGAATTTTAATTTTTACTTTTTTCCAATTGGTAAAAGGGGAGTAGTTAAAATTCACAGGACTATTACGATTCTAAAGCTGTCTCACATAGGTTAACAATCAGCCCATGTGAATATAAGCTCTTGGGCACCCTTCCTTGGTAGCTAGTTGTCAAGGGGGTTTTAACCAAGTGTTAGCCACCAAGGAATCGGATGCAATCTATGTGAGTATGTGATACAAAACTTACCATTGAAAACCGGCTTGCAAGGAGGCTTATATGCACATGGGCAAGTTTTTTTTAACTGATGTGGATCGTAACCTACCACTACGCTCTACAGCCGATGTCAAGTTTTTATTTTTTAAATAATTGAGAAATTACGATCCTAAAGTTGTCTCACATAAGTTTTTTTAACCTAGTTTTTCTATTTTTTAATAAATTGATAAATTATTTGCAAGCGCAAGGGCAAATTTGTCTCAAAAAGGGCTTGCAGCCCAAAGCATGGACATCACATCCCAATCACACTGCTGATGACCTTATCTTATGCTAATTTCCACAATTTTAGATATGCATATGCATGTATGTATGGATGAATACATTTGTGGCGCAAAAGATTTTAAGTCAAGCAAGTTTAAACCCTTTTGAACTACTTAAATTTGACACAGTTTCATGGCTTGGTACTACCTTTTGATCAATAAAAAGCAGATTCTGTATTAAAAAAAAGAAAAAAAAAAAAAAAAGAGAGAAAGAATTTGCTGTATGTGACAAGTGGTTGGGTTTGAACTGGAGCAGAAAAATAAGGTGAATTAGAATGTTGGATTAGTGCAAGTAGGGTAGGGCTTTGTGCATTTAAGGGAAAAAATTCAGTAGGATGTTAAAACCGTTTTTTACTTGCCTTTGTTATGATTTACCTTCTATGTATTGGTTAAGTCTCAGTCTATAACATTTAAATCTTATTGACAGTTCACTGAAAATTTGCCCCTTTAAATAAGCATAGCACCTTTATTTCTTTCTTTCTTTCCTTCTCTCTCTCTCTCTCTCTCTCTTTTTTTTGTGCGTGCCCACGCGTGCGTGTGTGCGGGTGAACTATATTGCTGACTGTTACTGACAAAAACTTCATATTTTAGAAAACTCTAGTATTGGAGTTGCTTGGGAGCTTCTGGTAAAAAATGTATGTATGGATGAATACATATGTGGTGCAAAAGATTTTAAGTCAAGCAAGTTTAAACCCTTTTGAACTACTTAAATTTGACACAGTTTCTTGGCTTGGCACTACCTTTTGATCAATAAAAAGCAGATTCTGTATTTAAAAAAAAAAAAGAAGAAAAAAGAAGAAGATAAAGAATTTGCTGTATGTGACAAGTGGTTGGGTTTGAACTGGAGCAGAAAAATAAGGTGAATTAGAATGTTGGATTAGTGCAAGTAGGGTAGGGCTTTGTGCATTTAAGGGAAAAAATTCAGTAGGATGTTAAAACCGTTTTTTACTTGCCTTTGTTATGATTTACCTTCTATGTATTGGTTAAGTCTCAGTCTATAACATTTAAATCTTATTGACAGTTCACTGAAAATTTGCCCCTTTAAATAAGCATAGCACCTTTATTTCTTTCTTTCTTTCCTTCTCTCTCTCTCTCTTTTTTTTGTGCGTGCCCGCGCGTGCGTGTGTGCGGGTGAACTATATTGCTGACTGTTACTGACAAAAACTTCATATTTTAGAGAACTCTAGTATTGGAGTTGCTTGGGAGCTTCTGGTCAAAAATGTATGTATGGATGAATACATATGTGGTGCAAAAGATTTTAAGTCAAGCAAGTTTAAACCCTTTTGAACTACTTAAATTTGACACAGTTTCTTGGCTTGGTACTACCTTTTGATCAATAAAAAGCAGATTCTGTATTAAAAAAAAAAAAAAAAAAAAAAAAAAAGAGAAAGAATTTGCTGTATGTGACAAGTGGTTGGGTTTGAACTGGAGCAGAAAAATAAGGTGAATTAGAATGTTGGATTAGTGCAAGTAGGGTAGGGCTTTGTGCATTTAAGGGAAAAAATTCAGTAGGATGTTAAAACCGTTTTTTACCTGCCTTTGTTATGATTTACCTTCTATGTATTGGTTAAGTCTCAGTCTATAACATTTAAATCTGAGTCTATAACATTTAAATCTGATTGACAGTTCTCTGAAAATTTGCCCCTTTAAATAAGCATAGCACCTTTATTTCTTTCTTTCTTTCTTTCCTTCTCTATCTCTCTCTCTTATTTTTTTGTGTGTGCCTGCGCGTGCGTGTGTGCGGGTGAACTATGTTGCTGACTGTTACTGACAAAAACTTCATATTTTAGAGGACTCTAGTATTGGAGTTGCTTGGGAGCTTCTGGTAAAAAATGTATGTATGGATGAATACATATGTGGTGCAAAAGATTTTAAGTCAAGCAAGTTTAAACCCTTTTGAACTACTTAAATTTGACACAGTTTCTTGGCTTGGAACTACCTTTTGATCAATAAAAAGCAGATTCTGTATTAAAAAAAAAGAAAAAAAAAGATGAAGAATTTGCTGTATGTGACAAGTGGTTGGGTTTGAACTGAAGCAGAAAAATAAGGTGAATTAGAATGTTGGATTAGTGCAAGTAGGGTAGGGCTTTGTGCATTTAAGGGAAAAAATTCAGTAGGATGTTAAAACCGTTTTTTACCTGCCTTCGTTATGATTTACCTTCTATGTATTGGTTAAGTCTCAGTCTATAACATTTAAATCTGCTTGACAGTTCACTGAAAATTTGCCCCTTTAAATAAGCATAGCACCTTTATTTCTTTCTTTCTTTCCTTCTCTCTCCCTCTCTCTCTCTCTTTTTTGTGTGTGCCCGCGCGTGCGTGTGTGCGGGTGAACTATATTGCTGACTGTTACTGACAAAAACTTCATATTTTAGAGGACTCTAGTATTGGAGTTGCTTGGGAGCTTCTGGTCAAAAAAAAAAGATAAAGAAAAAAACTTGTCGACTTCGTGCAGATGGCTGGAAAGAGAGATACTTGTACAGAAATGGATTTTATTTTGCAGATTTTGGTATATTCTTGAACTTGCAATGACGTGCTAAATGCCATTATTAATGTTCTTTTCACATGGATAACGTTAAAAGTTGATCATGTTCGTATGGTGTTTTCTTGTAGTGTGAATATTACTAGTTATACAATCAATGTTTTGGATTCGTGTTCTGTTAAAGTTTCAAAAGTGGTCACTGTTTTTTAATAAAGCCTTCCAATGAATTGCTAAAACATATGATTTTCTATTTTCTCATTGATTAATGCAAAGCATTGATGAATTGCTTTTTGTTTCTGGTTGGCAAATTCTGAGTGCAAATTTTAAGCAAAATAAACCTGAGGCTATTATTTTGGGTAAAATTTATCTAAAATCTTTATCATTTTTAAGCCGCCCTTTTATAGGAGTTGTTTAATATTTTTATGAAAGTATTCATCAGGGCGCATGTTCTTCAATATACGGCTCTGATGTCATTTGCTCTATTTATGTTAAAAAATAAGTCTGGCCTTTGGATTTATATTTCGTGATGTTGTTTCGTAAATTGAGTTCTGTACTCGCATGTTATTTTTTTGTTGTATATGTAGTTTTTGTGTTTTTTTTAATCTTCATTTCATTTCTTTCTTGAGGAGATTTTTGACTTTTGTTATCATTGTTTCTGATCTTTTCTGCCATGTTCTTTTGTTTTTTAAAATTTAAATTTAATTGTCTTTTCTTTTCTTACCTTTGGTCCCTTAAATGTCAGCAAGTCATCATTATGTATTTATCATTTTTTATGTGATATGTTCTTGTTTGCTTACCCCTCATTGACATAATTTTGATTGTGCTTTAAAATACGCTAGAGGGTTGATCAGCAACTATGACATAATTGTCCCACTCCGTAATATATATAGCTTCCTTAACCGTCCATTGTATTTAACTTTATCTATTACTATTCCACTATAATTTCTATTCTTTGTTTCTCTATTTGATTGGTTTTGGTTTATGCTCTTCCTCATCCATGACTTCCCCTAAGTTAAAGCTGAAACGGGACAATTTTAATCAATTTATCAATGGAAATGAAAGGATGGTGCCCATGGTATTGATCCATCATTAATCACTAATTCAGTTTTAATAATGGTATCAGTGATACAGTTCAATTCATTTTTGGGTAGTAGCATTAACTAACAGCCTTTATTTGGGTGGTCAAAACTGTACAGAATTAAGACAGATTACATTAATTACAATGATGTACATAAATTACATTGACTATCTCTGATCAAAGAAGAAAGTAAAAATCAGTTTCCATCAGCATTTGTATTGTTCTTTTTTTTAATATATTTTTATTGGGTTGGAATTGTTACTTCCTATGATTTACGACTGTTGGTTACCTACCTTGGATGCATGTTTGTCTGAATATTTTCTTTACAATATATATATATATATATTTTTAATGTTAGTTTTCGTCAAATATGCATGACAGACACATGAAATTTACATGTTAACTGATTTGATTTTGTTCCAGGGTTCGCAATTTCTCCTCTATGGCAATTTCGTTGGGGGAGTTTTGGTAGAAGACTTAGAGAGAATACCAGTTAATCTTTTGTGTTTTAGTTTGTGAATAAGGATTGTTATTGTAGATAAATGGAATCAAAGTGGGTTAAAGTATTGGATAATGGCCATAGAATCATTGTTGACGCAAAGAGAAAACAGGCAGCCCAATGTGCAGCAATTGAAGCAAGCCACAAGGTTTTGTCAGTTCAGCCCAACCATAATTCATTATTTACGAAGCTTGGCAAGCGGAAAAGACTGGTTGGATGCAAAACGAAATGTGGGGTGCACTTGAGAAAATCGTTACATAAGAACTATTCCAATTTCATGAAAAGTGGACTGCCACAGCGGTTACTGTTTTATCAGAATGGTGACTGGAATGATTTTCCTTGTGATATTGTTGAGTTGGTTAGCAAAGATTTTCAAATGAAAAATGCGGCAATTGAAGTCCAGTTCAAGGGCTGCCATTTAATGTTTGATGTCTTGTACATGATTCAAGTAGATTTGAAGACAGGTTCCCAGAAGCCTATAGCTTGGATTGATGAATCAGGTAGCTGCTTTTTTCCTCAATTATACTCTACTGATCGTGGAATTCATGAATGCAATCAATCTGAGTTAGAAAAAGATGAATTTGGGTATGCGGAGCCAAATGGGGCCCCTGAAATCAAGTTGCATCTTCAAATAGAAGTAAACGGAGTTAATGGCTACAATTTCGAGGAATGTGTGGAAGAGTCAAATATTTGTGCTAAGCGAATTAAAATTGAACAAAAATCTAACAGAAATAATGATGAGCTAGGCATTGATGACAATTATAATGAAAAATCTGTTTCAAAAATGGACAAGGTTGTTGAGGAAGTTCAACAGAGTGGCAAAAATTTATCCTCTAAGTTTGAATATGTTTGTGAAACTGTAGATTTAGATATTGTGAAAAACATGTTCGTTGTGGGCATGAACCCGTCCTTGAATGCGAACATACTTGAAATTAACAGATGCTCTGGTAATGTGATGCAAATTCGCTGGGAAATTTTTCAGAAGCAGATTGAGATAACTCAAAGGTATCGTGGGGATCCAAATGTTCGGTATGCTTGGCTCGCTTCTACAAAAGATGCACTGCCTAGTATCATGACCTATGGGCTTGCACATTGTGGACTCAAAACTAAGGCCACATATGGTTTTGGAGTTCACCTTGCAGCTGTGAAGTGTGCCCTCACCAGGTCTGCATATTCTCTTTATTTTCTTGTTTTTTAATTGTTCTTTGGATTAGTATAAGCAACAACACAATATTTTGCACATTGTGGACCAAAATCAAGAAATATACCTTTTTCCCCCTCTTTTGTTATTGATTGCGTTTTGGGAGGAGGATTTAGCTCTTTTTTTTGTTCTTTGTTTTTGTTTGTTTACAGTGCAAGTAATTGTGATGTTGATGAAAATGGAATACAACACATGGTGTTTTGCCGTGTCATACTGGGAAATATGGAACTTGTTCATCCTGGATCTAGACAATTTCATCCCAGTAGTGAAAATTTTGATAGTGGAGTTGATGATCTGCAAAATCCGAGTCATTATATTGTTTGGAACATGAATATGAGCACACACATCTATCCAGAATATGTTGTCAGTTTCAAGGCGTCCCACAGTGTTGAAGGTGCTACTTAATACCTTATTTTTAAATTTTTAAATTTTTTTTATTATATATTTTATATATTTATTGGTTAATGCATAATTGATTATCAAGCTTAAAAGAAATTATGACACACCACCTTTGTATGTGTGACCACTGGCTTGATCAATACCATTTAATTGGTTTTTTTGCATTTGGATGGAAAAATCTAGCCTGACACTTTTGACCTTTAGGTCATGTACTATTTAGATTTGTGAGTTAGTGGCACTCATATTCGGGTAAGGTGTATGAAATCTGAATACTATTAATTTCTTGTTGTTTAGTTTAGAATTCTTTTTATTATATTTGAGACATCTTTAAGTATTAGAGTGTGAGACGTTCTCAATTTTCCTACAGAAGCTCTGGTCGGGAGAGGAAGTCAATTTGATGTACCTGGTGTTACTACTAGTCAGGACCATCATGGTCAATTGCAGCTAGATTCATCTTCAGTTGAAACGGTAAGCATTCACATACTATAAGAATTCCATTGATTGCGAGTCTTTCTTTGCTAATTTTGTCCAGCAAGCAGCGAATTTTTGATGGGGACGGTACAAATCTGGGCCCCTTCTGCTAAGTATGTTAATATAAGGAGCAACTGGGAGTGCACTGTTGTTGTTGGCACAAGCTGATAGCACCAAGACACCGTAACCCAGAATTTCTTCTATTACTGGAATTGTCCAGGAGTTGAGCTAAAGCTTGAGATTTTAATCATTTTGCAAGCAGGCCTGGTCCCGCAAACTATTTTATGAGGTTTGGTTGGCTTTACTGGAGTTTATATTCTGGTGTAACTGTGAATTGTCTTGTACTGTGATGAAATTGTGTCTACTTGCAAAAAGGCAGAATAACTATTATGAGACACTTTGTGGATATATTGGAATTTGAACATAGGTTGCTCAACAGTCACTTCACCATAAAGTTTATGAGAGCCCAAAATGTTGGGTGGGGATTGGATCTCACTTTTCAGACCATGCAGTGAGTTGACCTAATAAATTTAATTAGGTTACATGACAAGACTTTCCTATAACACTTTTGTATTAATGGGCGATACTTAAATGCCTGTTGATATTAAATTGTTTTTATTTATTGTTTCAACATTATTGGGAATGGCAAATATTCTATTGACGACGAAGGGACCAATTTTCATTTGTACTTACGAATAGTTGGCGCTGGTGAATGTCTTTGATCTCAATCTCTTCATTATGATTTGGGCATTATTTTGTTGGTATGGTAAATGATGGTAACCTTTGTTTGTAGTTTATGGCTTTTCCATTTTTGATAGTTATCATTTGTTATTTTCTAGGAGAGAAATTTCCATCGGCGTCGAGATACTGGGGCCAAATCTCAGGGAAATACCCCTAACATCGGTTCAACCACCTCCAAGACTCCTAAATCCCCTTGGATGCCTTTTGCTATTTTGTTTGATGCCATCTCCAATAAAATAGATCCTAAAGATATGAAATTGTTGAATATTCATTATGACCTATTCAGGGTACGTTATACCATCTATTATTTCCTTTTTTTTATAAATAAATTTTGATGTATATTCTTTTAATAATAATTTAATCTTTTTTGTTTTTTTTGTCCCTTTTCTTTTCGCCCCACTTGTTGGAAATGTTATTAGAGCAAGAAAATCAATCGGGATGATTTTATTAAAAAGTTGAGATTGATAGTTGGGGATCAATTGTTGAGGTCTACGATAACTGGTCTTCATTGTAAGGTATGATTCATTCTGTTGTCTCATGGGACCATAGCTGCTTGTCTGGGGGCTATATTTAAGTTATAATTTTCAGGTTTGCTAATTATGGGTTTCATGCCAATCTAACAGTTGGCATTGGAGATTATAATAATGGGAGGTTAAAAGATTTTGTTGGGTGCTTATTCCTTCTAGTTAAATACTGTAGTTTGCTTAAAATAAATAAAGGGTACCATTTAAGTCTTTACATTCTTAATTATTGATGCTGTACAACATTTGGAACTTTGTTATGTATGTAATGCTATTGTTTTTACATACACACATGTATACTCGTTTGCATGTATATATCTGTGTGTGTTGAGAGGCTGGGGATTCTGGTGAGGAGAGAGTTGCCATTATTTAAGAAGACGCTCACATTTGCTAGTAAAGAAGCATTTCTAACGTCTTACGTGAATGGGGAAATAAAAATTCCATATATTTCTTAGATCTTTTTTAATTTGAAGTACATTTTAAAATAATTTATAACATCTTATTCAAGATTAGTGAAATGCTAACAAGTACCCTGTGGGTATTGTTTAACAATGGAATTGATATAAGAAGTGTCTTGAAAATAGATGAAATAGTTAGTAAATTCAGTGAAAAGTGTCTTGTGTTTTTAATTTTTTGTCCTTTTTTTTTGGTGCCTAGAGGGCACTTGTTAGCAAGACCAGTATTACACAATGTATATAAGTATTTGAGATGTGTCCCAATAGCAATACCCAACTTTCGGACACCCATCATCTTAATATTTAGGTTTGGAAATATCTGCCCTTTTTCTTTCAATCCATCTTCCTGGAAGTATGTAATCCAGAACCCCCAAATGGATTTATCCCTTTTTGGAATATGACACTTGGACACACACCTGCATTCGATGTTTGCACCTGAGTCCATGTAACATAGTCCAAGTCAACAGCTCCTGCTATGGCAGATAGTGGGATGCATCAGCAGACATAATGAGGATTATGCACTGGTAATTGATTTGGGTGCAATTCAAGTCAACAAATATGGGCAGCTTTGATCAATGCACCCTTAGAAGTTCATTTTTTCCAGTTTCGTACGGTACACAATTTTGCTATGCAATCTCCCCAATATTTTGGGCTCAAGAATGAGTCTACAAAAAGCTGTTAAAAGCAAGTTTTAATATGCTTCTTGTGTCACTGGAAAACATGCCTTAATTGCCTGGGCAACGCGGACAATTTATTATACAATTGAATGCAGTAAGGTCAGTGGTGGGTGGGAAGAATTGCTTGACATAGCTAGTTGACAAAATACAAGTTGAGTACAATTGAATGCAGTAAGGTCAGTGGTGGGTGGGAAGAATTGCTTGACATAGGTAGTTGACAAAATACAAGTTGAGGATAGAAAAAATCTCACTGCTTTTTATTTTTATTTTTTTGGGAATGATCTCCCAAGAGTCGAAGAAGTTTTTGTCTTTTCTGTTACTTTATTTGTTCTTTTTGTCACTGTTGGATTTGCTTTATAATTGATGGTCCATTTCTGTTTGTTAAGATTATTTGTGATCTGTTGAGTCAAGTTTGCATTCGTATATTTTATGGAGCAGGACAAGGACTCTCCTCTTGTTGTTGGGTGATAACATGCATTTGTGACAAAATCTTGAATTTGAAATTGATTGTTCCTAGTTGGTTATGTTTGCAGTTACCATCCAATTTTATATGCCCGCCAAAAGTGCCGAAGGAGGAACAAGAATGTTGAGGCAGCAGTGGTACACTGTTTCTCTTATATGGTTACATAAAAATGATCAAAATTGTTTTAGCTGCTGCTCGTGGGAATTTGTCGTCATTGAGTTGTGAACAATGTAGTTTAGGTATATGAAATTTGCTTTTAATTTCATTTTTTTGGGTCTGTCTTATTATGTCACTATTCAACTTGTTGAACTTAGTACATTTTTCAATGAAAGCATGCTGTTTAATGGCTGGTCTCAATTGTGAATTATTATTTTCTAAAGCAAACTAGGTAATTGTGAGAATCTTTATTAAGTGGGATTTATTTCCTAGTGTTTGAAGAAAGTGTCAGCTGCGCTACCTCTTCTAAACCAATCCTAAATGATGAGGGATGTAATTACTTCGGTATAATCGGTATTTAGGTAAAAAAAAAATTACCGAATTGATAATATTGATTATATTATTTTGAACATCGATACATACCTTTTTTTTCATTAAACTGTACCGAATCAAACCGATTGAAACGGTTCGATTCGGTGCGGTTTAATCGGTTTAGGATATTTCAAACTTGAGTCACTTTTAGATATAATCACTTATTTATATAAACATATTAAATTAGTTATTTGCCTATAATTTCAAACATATTCAATCCATCAATTTAACAAATACTTTTCAATTTTTAAATTAACAAAAAAAAAAAAAAAATACTAAGGTTTCAAGAATAATAAGTTAGAGTTAAGATTATATATAAAAAGAGTTTATAAACTTAGGTTATAAAGATAATAAGATTAATTAAAGTTAATAATTCATTATACTTATTAATATTATTATATTATTAGGTTATATATATATATATATATATATTATAAATACAATATGTTGAAGCGGTCGGTTTCGGTTTAATTCGGTGCATAAGGTGTATCGAACCAAAAATCGAAAAAAATCAAATTTAAAAATCGCACAGATCGATTGCTGTTAAAAAATAGATCAAATATAGTCGGTTTAGTCCGATTCAATCGATTTAACCAGTTTTTTCGATTTTTCTTACATCATTATAAATCACAATGGAAATGTGTTCTTGAAAAAAACATCCTCAGATTTGAAGCACGCAAATGTTGGGATAAAAAGTAGAAAATCTGCCAAAGAAGGTGAAGGCATGCCATCGTTGGCAAACCAGTAGTTGGAGGTGACGACGAGCAAGCAATGAACAAAACAATGGGGAAAATGTTGCAATAAAGCTATCATAATAAAAATACCTTGCTTTCTTTTTTTTTGGATTCAGCGGAAAAGAAATACAAACAAACAGGGACTAAGCCCTTTCCCTAGCTATCCCAACCATATCAGAGACCAAGAGCTCTCTAATTTCAGCAGGTGGATCATTTACAACTAGAATGTCCTCAGGTTGTTCAGCTCCAAGTTTGGCCATTGCATCAACACATAAGTTCCCTTCTCTGTAGATGTGTTGTACAGTGCATTGGCAACCAGTAAAGATGATCTGGGAGTCTGCTACAAGGCCTCTAAGGAGGTGGTGCTCGCCAGGACCTTCTTCAAGCAGCTTCCCTACTTCAGTCGCATCGGTCTCGATTATCACTTTGTGAAAACCTTTTTGAAGGATGATGGTGAGGCCTTTGTACACAGCCCATAGCTCGGCTTCAAGGCTGGTGCAGTTCTCGAGTTTGCCATAGAACCCACAGATCCAAGCTCCTGCTTCATCTCTTAACAGACCTCCAAAACCTCCAGGTCTGGCCATTCGATAGCAGCCTTCAGTATTCAACTTGAGTGTACCTGAAGGGGGACAACTCCACTTGATTAGTAAAGGTGCTGCTCTAAGAATAGGAACAAACAAAGTGAAAGCTTGGGAGCACTCTCTGGAAAAATCAAAAATGAATTTAACACTTTCAAAAATGCTAGCAGTTTTATTTTCAAAAATTTTTGAATTCCTGTTTTTCCAAATTCTCCAGAGAGTGATAGAGAACAAAGTGTTCCAAAGAGTATTTTCCCCAAAACTGTTCTTCTTTTTGAGATTGTAAATCAGCCAACTTTTCCAAGAAGAATTACTTATCTGTAGGTACCAGTTTCTGGAGAAAACTGTCTCCCACACACCCCTAGCTGCAGAACAGGTTCTAAAAAGATGATCCAAGTTTTCCACCTTATTGCAAAAAGGGCATGTTGGGTCATCAGTTAACCCTCTCTTAACCCTCATACAGTTAGTCAATGTTTTCCCCTGGAGCAACACCCAGAGGAAGCTTTTAATCTTTTGAGCAATTTGACATTTCCAGAGCCATTGCCAATTTTCTCTGTGCGCATCACTCTCCATGCCCAAATTGTAAGCACTGAGTGTTGAGAAACACCCATCCAGAGATCCTTTCCAATGTGGCTGATCAGGGTTGGGACTGTAAAGAGGGGGTTTTTCTTTGAAAATAAGATCAGCCGCATTAGTTGGGAAGTGTTGTTGCACTGTGTTCACATCCCAATCCCCTTCCTCATTAAGAAGGGAATTCACTTTCACCAAATTTGAGTCAGCATGTGTTTGGGGAGTAAGGGCAGGGGAGTAAGGGCAGCCAATGGTTTAGACCCACACCACCAGTCATCCCACAGGTTAACATTAGAATTTGTACCAATGGACCATTTAACACCCTTATTCTAGGTGGTTCTGGTTTTAATTATGCTTCTCCACACATGAGAAGCTTTCTTTCTTGTTTTCCAATTGCAAATAGAAGCATTTTTGAGATATTTAGCCCTAAGAACCTCAATCCACAAACCATTCTCATTATTGAGAATTTTCCAACCAAGTTTGGAGAGTAGGGCTATGTTCTGTTCAATTGTTTTTTAGCCCTAGCCCTCCAAATTTTTTGCTAATACACACCTCATCCCAACTCACAAGGTGGATCTTTTTCTTTTCCACAGTGTCTCCCCATAGGAAGTTACGATTCATGCGATCAATATCATTGCAGACCCTCTTAGGGAGTGCCATAGTTTGCATAGTGTAAGTAGGGATAGCTGCTGACACAGATTGAATCAAGGTGGTTCGTCCTGCCAAAGACAGGACTTTCACTTTCCAACCAGCCAACTTGTTTTGGATTTTCTCAAGAATAAAATTAAAATGACTTCGATTAGCTCGTTGGTGTAGAATAGGAACACCCAGGTATTTCCCAAGGTCAGTAGTTAAAGGTATATGGCAAAGGTTGCTCAACTCCCTAGCCTGCCTTCTGGCAATATTAGGAGACACAAAATTTTTTGATTTTTGATAATTAATTTTCAGGCCAAAAAATACCTTGCTTTCGTTAATTATTTTAGATGACTAGAACGCTGGGATCATTTAAACTTCTATTTTATAGTTTAGGAATCAAATTGATAAAATCAAAAGTTTAAGAGATGAAAGTGCAAGAAAATTAATAGTATGAGGACTATTTTAGTATAATTAGTCTTTTAATAAAAAGTCCATAGATTTTGTTTAGTATGGATTAAAATTTTTTGTCAGTTGATTTTAAACTGAAAAATAAAATAGCTTTAAAAGTCTGCTGGTTCTTTTCCAGCATTTCAAAAAGTGCACTATAGCTTAAACTCATGAAATGCTTGTGTCCATCAATTTTTCATATTCATAAAAGATGACATTTGATGAACATCATGACTAAATTTCACGTACTTTCCAATTAGTTAGTAATTACGATGATGAATTGCACCATTTGGTTTTAGACAACCGTTAATTTTAGACTTGTTGTGAACTTATCGAGTATTATTTTAAAATAAATAGTATCTGATAATAAAATTTTGTATATTAAATGATGTGTCATTACTGTATTGATAAATCAAATCTCAACTTAATTTCATAGATTGTACTTCTAAATGAACGACACGTAAAGTGCCATAGAATCCCATAATTTTTTTGTTGAATTCCAAAATTTAGGCTTTAAATTTTGCATATGTTTTTTGATTTGCCCATATGGGGAAAAAAATGTTTTGCATTATGTTGATTTGAGTGGGAACGAATTTGCCTGCTGCTACATGGATTGCTTGGTCCACAATTCCACTCTCAAAGACTTTCATAGTCTCAAAAGACTTTCATAGACCACATGGAGTCCAAGTCTTCTTCCAATACTAGAAGAATTAAAAGTGTAGAGTCACTTGACTCACTGTATATATGCATGTATCTTTGTCCATGTGTGTGTGATTCTTACTTTGAGTTCATATTACTTCCCTTTTAAGAAAACAAAGTAAATAAAAATTCAGAACACATAATTATTTAAATCAACTGAGTTAGTCGAGTTGATCAATTATATACACTTCGAACTGAAAGATTATAGAGTTGATCATTATTAAAGAAAAATATTAACAAAATTTTATCTATTAAGAGTTTTTTTATTTTTATTTTTAATTTATTGGATTAGTTTTTGAGCGGTATGTTGTGTTATTTATTTCTTTTCGAATTATAGATTCTTTATTAGTTCAGTTGTTGGGTTTTATAGTTGTTAAACTTTTATAATTGTTGGACTATGATTAGCCAAATATAATTCTTTTTATATTTGTACATTATTTGCTATCAATTGATAACAAAATACATAATTATTTCTGTCATAACTCTATTAATTGGTGTGATTTCATAGGTTAAATTTTTATCCTAGTGGTATTGTTGGAGCTCAATGATCCACTTCAAATATATTTTACGCTGTGTTTGGTTGAGAGATTTGGGAAGGGAAATGGAAAGAGAAATGGAAATGAAAGGAAAAGGAGAAAGAATTAATAGAATTCCAAATCCCAACTATGTTTGGTTGTGTTGGTTATAAAATAGAATTGATGTCCTAAAAGGTATCCTATTTCTTTATTTATTTCTCACCCCCTTTCTTTTCCCATATATTTTTTATTATAACCAAACATAAATAGGATTACATTTCTCATTCCTTTTCCAAATCCCACCTCAAAAACTCCAACCAAACACAGCATTAGTGATTCGAACCATTTATCTTTTGAGACTTGTTAATCAAAATTTTCAAATTTGTAAAATAATTATAATTTAATCATTTGACTATCGATATTTGATTAAATTGTGACAACACATATTCAATTAGATCACCAATTAAAAAAGAAGCCATTCATTCTCGATTCCAAAAACACATACAAAATAATACACATTACATGTTAGGGGGTATACACAGGTTAGTGTAAGAGAAATAATCTCAACTAAAATGTTCTTGATGGATTGATTATTTCTTAACCTGTTACTAGCTTGCATGATTTCAAAATGAGCAGGCTGTTTTGAGTATTTTAATGCTATGTTTGGTTGAGGGATTTGAAGAGGAATTTAGAAAGGAAAAGAAAAAAGGTGTGTGAAACTAGGTGAAATGTTTATATTTTATTTACATTTCACCAAACTTTTCCTTTTCTCTTTCCAAATCTCTCTTCAAATCCTTCAACCAAATATAACGTAAACAGTTTCAAACCAAAAATGTTACGAATTCCAACACATTGTATGAATGCATACTAAAAGTTAAGATGTTTAAGTTTTGTTTGAGAATATACTAAAATAGCTAAAAACATCAAAAAGTCATGCTAAGAGCATCTCCAACGGTGTACCAAATGTTTCATCAAATCTGAGTAAAAAAGGGGTCATTTCCTTAATTTGATACTTCGCGCTCCAACGGTTCAACATCAAATCCGTTTCATCAAATTTGCGCTGGGCAACCGGTTGGTTAACCGGCCGGTCAACCGGTAACGGCAAAAAAAAAACGTAAAGCTTCACCTTTTTTTTTTTTTTACCGGTTTGAACCTTTTTTTTTTTGAACTTTTTGAACTTTTGGTGGTCGACCGGGTGGTCAACCGGCCGGTCGACCAGGTGGTCGACCACCTAGGCAAATTTTTATTTTATTTTATTTTTTTGACTGGTTTCAACCTTTTTGTGAACTGTCTGAACTTTCTCCTGGGCGACCGGTTGGTTAACCGGTTGGTCAACCGGATGGTCGACCCGTTCGTCTCATCCCAACGGTTAGGAACAGTGATTTGGTGAAATGCTTCGCCTGTACTCAGTTTGGTACCATTTTTGCTGAATTCTGGATTTGATATCGATTTGGTGAAAACGTTGGAGCTTAAAAAAGTGGCTTTTTCACCAAATTTTAAATTTGATGCCAGGTTTGGTTCACCGTTGGAGATGGTCTAAGTAGTTAACTATTCTTTTTTATTTATTTCTTTTACGTATTTTTGTAAAAAATAAAAAAAAAATTAAAATAGTTAATTCTCAAAATAATCTTTAATTTATATATAAATAATGATGAGTTGAGTTCTATATTTGCATAATTTTTTTTTTATTGAGATTAATTGAATATTCGGATCAACTTATATGCACCTCAACTAAATTTTTAGCCCTTAAATTAACAATTGAGAAAAGTGCCAGCTTACCGCATATTTGGACAAATTGTGAATTTTAAATCGCACAAAATCAAACTTTCATGTATAATCTATTCAATACAACTCAACACTTTCAAATTATAGTATTACTATCTAATCATTTATTATCTTTTACCTACTATATACACATGATAAGATAGTTATATCTGAAAAATAAAAATGACTCTCATATAGTTTTATTGTGTCTTAATAATACTATATCACCAATATTATGGTTTACTCATAAATTTGATGAGTTGTTGAATTTTATCAACACCACACGATAAGTACTATAGACCGAACTTACCTAGAAATTTCTCCCAAGGACACACACTTCCAATTTTTAAAGTCGGTGGCAAGTGGCAACTCTTTCGTGTCCATCTAAACATGTACCACCACCATGCCTGTTAATCTCCATTGAACAAAATACCCCTCCCATTTCTCCAAAATACCATAGCATATCACTCGTTATTCACATCCCAAAGGGGTAAAATCGTCAAAACACTTTATTCTTTGTCTTAGCCTTTACACTTTTTAGGGTTTTTTTTTTAACACTATTTTAGCTTAATTAAAAAATTTAATTTGAAATGAAAATAATTTACTGTGTTTGGTTTGAGTTTTCTGAATTAAGTTTTTTGAAAATTGACTTTTTTAGTTTTTGTGTTTTTTTGTTTTTAGTGAATATTTTTTAAATTTTAAACATTTTTTTTTACTTTTTTAGATGCACCTTACTTAGATATATTTAAAAAGTAAAAAATTTGTGAAAAAATATTTTAAAAAATTAATAAATACATAAAAATATAAAAAATATACTGAATTCTTGTATTTTTTTGTATTTTTAGTATTTAGTGAATTTTTTTAAAATTTTTTTTATTTTTTAGGTGTATTTATGTTAGAGGTGTCTAAAAAGTAAAAAAATTGTTTAAAATATTAAAAAAATTCAATAAAAATAAAAAAATACAAAAAATAAGAAAGTAGAATTTTCTGAAAAGTGTTTTAGAAAACTAAAAATCAAGTAAGGTGATTATAATTTATTTTATTTTTTTAATTAGGTAAATTAGTCCCAATCATATTACGGGTCTTACTATCTCCAATAAAAGGAAAAAAAGAAAAAAAGAAAAAAATAATCTCCATTGGATGGTTCCTAGGGTTTGAACGACTGTAGGAGAAGAAAAGGAGGAAGAAGATCATCCGTCGACTTTTTCTCTCTTCTCTGCGATTCAGGTACGCTTGATTGCTCTCTTTCTCTCTCTCTCTCTCTGTATATAGTATATAGGTATATTTATGGCATGTTTGCTTTCCTCTAGCTTTCTCTCTCCATAGCTTTTGCTGAAAATTGAATACAGGTCTCCTTTGTGTTGTATTTTATGAAAGTGTTATGCTTTTTTTTCACGAATTGATGTGATCGCAAGCAATTCGGTTGACAATCGCAGACTTAAATTGAACTTCAATTGCCTTAGTAGTCGTCAATCCATGTTTCATTCGGGTCTACCTCTGATTGTGGTCATAAGAACCTCCAATCAACTACGTCTGTATGGAATTTGGAAAAAAAAAAATTTGGTCTTGAAATTTCAATTTATATAGAAAGAGCTTTGGGAAATGTTATGTTGTTACACTTTTTACGCCACAATATGCCTAGTCATAAAAGCTGGCGCACGTAATTGTCAAATTGAGAATCAAAATTACCTTTTTTTTGAATTGTGAATAGTAAAGATTCAGTTATAATTTCTAAAATTAATAGAAAATATATCTAAAGATTAGATATTGTAAATATGTAAAGTTTAAATAGAAATCAATTAAAAGCTAATTTTGAGTGATGAGCACATGGTATAATAGATAAGACACGTACCTCAATGGCAAGAGATGTGGGTAAAATCCGCGGCATGAACCAACCAACTAACATGAATTCAACTAGCATATCTATTTTCCTTTATTACATTATTGATTATTCTTTGACTTAGGACAATTTATAGATTCCTATACTTGTATGATTTAGAGGAAATAAGAATTTAAGATCCATCGTATGAGAAATTATAAAATTAAAAGTTTAAATCATCAAATGAGTATGAGATAAATTTAACACAATGCATTTATTTAAGATATAAATGTTACACCTATTACAAGATTTTCACAACTTCCAATTCTAACACTATATTTTTCCCAAAATTAAATTTAAATACACCCTATGAGAAAAAATGTCAATCTTCATGAACAAGAATAAATCTATACTTGCGTTAAAAAGAGATCACCTTAGAAAACAGAAGCTATGAGACAAAAACTCTAGAACATTTTCAGAAGTCTTATATTCTTCGTTCTTCAATTTTCATACCCAAATACTCACCTCAAAGGGCCCATAGTACCCAAATCACAACACTTCTCAAACCTCTCACTTGATTCCTCAAAAATATATACTTTGCAAGTTGAAACGCATGGATAAAGCTAAATCGATTTCTTGGTATTGAACCAAGTTGTGTGATACGTATTGTGAATCATACGATTTTGATATGATTCATGTTTATGTCAAATCATCCCGAGATACAAATCAATTGGTTGGTGTATCGAGCCAAATTGTGAAAAAATGTATCATAAATTGTTGTGTTACATGGACTCGGTGGTTTGGGTAGAAGAACCCGTGTCGACACGGCACAACACGGGTGCGGGAAAGAAGTGTGTAAGAAGAGTGAAGAATGATCTGTTGTTATAGGAATTGCTAGGGGAGAAACGATAACGAATTGTGAATTTAAAGCACATACAAAGACAATCGAAAAAGTACTTACAAGTCACTGGCGGTGAGGTTTTTAACCATCTCTCTGTGGATTCCATCATACACAATTCTTGGCCTCTCGTCGTCAATCCATGTCGAAGTCCTAGACTTCTTGCAATCAATGAAAAAACTGGAGCATATACATCGAAGCCCTTAGCAGAGATGCCTTGGAAGAGAAAAAGCCCTAGCGTTTTGGAAGAGGAGAGTCTGAAGATGTCTTGGGAAAGCCCTAGACGTTTAAGAAAACCCCTACATGGATTTAATTGTGTGGGCTGTGTACATTAGATACACACCCAACTTGACTTGTGCCATCTAATTTCTTTAAATTTGACTTATAAAAATATTTAAGCAATTGTTGGAGATTTTTCCAAATATTAAATTGCAGTAGAAAGGTTTCCTTAAAATATGTGCCATACGCATTAAATAGTGGTATATTTTTAGTAAATTATTTACCAAAAGGAAAAAAAATTGTGAAAAAAATGAATTAATTTAAACTTAAAGCTTTCTGCATTATCTTTTATTCATCTCCCCGACCCCTAATTCAACACTACATAGAAAATTTAATCTTGATATTTATATTAATATGTCCTGGCTCTGTACACATATCCAAATTTTGAACCGGTCCCCGTATCCAATAATTAGAAAAATATGCAAATTCTACTTCTGGACACGTACCTATATCCGACACCAACCCGAGTTTGGGTAACATAGATAAATTGTACGATTTTGATAGCATAATTGCCGCATTAATTAGTTTTTATAATGATTTAATTTAAATTGCACGTAGGAAGGGAATTCTTGAGCCATAGGTATTATTAGTTCTTTCTATAAAGGCCATGCATTGGATGATTTCAGTGGTTTATGAAAATTACCAGTGATGTTTAGTTTGATCATAAAAAGGTAACTATAGTTGACTAGAATTGAGCTAACATTTTTTTTTTCAAATCTTTAAGTTGGTGACCTCAAAATTTCTGATTATTTTACTATTATGGCTATATTACACACTATACATGTATTGATATGGAAAATGTTGAAAGAAAGGATATGGATAAAGTGAGGAAACATCAATAAAATTAGCACTTCTTTAGTGTCGTATTACAATTTGGAGAAATATCAGGAAACCTCTAAAACACTATTCAGGCCTCGTTTGGCAACATGTTTTTTTAGTTAACTTTTTGATTTTTTATGAAAAGATGTGCAGAAAGTAGAGAGAAAATGAAATCTTTGACTTTTGGGTATAGGTTGTTGGCTTTTTGGTTTTTTTAGTAATTTTTTGGCTAAAATCACCACTTGCCAAACGAGGCCTCAATCCTTGAAAATCATAAAATTAATGCATCTAAATATGGGGAAAGAAATCTTCATATGAATGGTTTGATCTTCCCAAAATTTTTGCACCACAATGCCTAAAGTTATTTCCCTTTTACTGGATTGCTACCTTTGCACTGCTTAACCCCAAATGACATTTTCGAACCGCATGGATATAACAGAATGGATGGATGCCCTCCCGGTTGTCGGATTGCAAGTGGATTTGATGCACTTTTTGTCTAGGATTTAATTATAGTGTAATATTATATAAAAAATTATTTTATAGTAATAGTTTTTACATTTTAGCTGACAATATTTTAATGGAGTGGATTTTATTGCACAGGTTTGCTAATTATCATCAATGGCAAGGTTTATCTGAGACATTGGCAAGACCGAGTAATATATAATTGTTATCTTTGAACTTTTGGCTTTATATCTGTGGATAGGGATTGATCTTGTGGGTAAAAATGGAAACGAAGTTCACAAAGGTATTGGATAATGGCCGTCGAGTTGTGGTTGACTTGAAAAGAAAGCGGGCAGCACGCTGTGAAGCATATTTCACTGGCATAGCACGCAAGGTATTGTCCCAGCAGACCGCCTTAAACTCTTCCATTTATAAGATGGGAAAGCGGAGGAAATTGAATGGATCCAAAAGCAAGTGCGGTTGTTGTGCTTCTCATCTAAAAAAATCTTTACTTCGATATTATTCAAATTTTTCGAGAAGTGGGATTCCACAACGTTTGATGTTTTATCAGAATGGTGAATGGAATGATTTTCCTCATGATTTGATTGGATTGATTAAAAAAGATCTTCAGGTGAAGAAGGCAACCACTGAGGTGGAGTTTAATGGCCGCCTCTTTGTGCTAGATTTTTTGCATATGATGAGGTTGGACATGAAGACAGGTTTACAGCAGCCTATTGCCTGGATTGATGAAGCAGGCAAATGCTTCTTTCCAGAAATCTTTTCTGCTGATGAGGAACTCCCTGAGTGCTGCCACCATGAATTTGAGAAAGATGAGGAACATCTTTTTTCAGAGCCGCATGGGTACCAGGATATCAGGCTGCAGCTTGAGATTGAAGTGAATGGATCAGATTGCTCTAAGTTTAACGAACATAGTGGGGAGTCAAATGCAGTTAATCAGCAAATTCAAGTTGATAAGAAACATGCCAGCGACCATTGTGATGTAGAAGTCGAGGATAGTTGTGTCAGAGCATCTGATCGAAAAGTTGATGCAGCTGTTGGGGAAAATCAACAGATAGAGAAAAACATGGTCACCGGTATTGCTGCTATACATGGAGATGTGGATTATGATGCTGTGAGGAAAATGTTTTTTGCGGGTATGGGTTCATTTGCCAATGCAGACATTGTTGACATATATCGTGGCTCGAGTACTTCAATGCAAGCTCGATTGGAGCTCTTCCACAAGCAAGTTGAAATCACCAAGAAATTTCGTGGGGACGCAAATGTGCAATATGCTTGGCTTCCTTGTTCTAAAGGAGTTCTGTCTAGTATCATGATGTATGGACTTGGGCATTGTGGAACATCCAAAATTAAATCCACGTATGGCATTGGTGTTCATCTTTCACCTGCAAACTGCACTATTACAAGGTCAGAGTTTCTTAACCACCGTTTACATTTATTATAAATTACAGAAGTTATGAATATTGAAAACTGTTGACATAATATGCTGGGAGGAAGATGGACTTTCTCTTCTGTGGGAGAGAGCTGCCCCCAATGTTAAAACTACAATTTAACCTGTTAGGGGCCTGAAGAGATATAGTAGTGTAGAAATTTAATGTATAAAGAGAAATAGAGAATTGTATTATTGATTGATATAATGTTATATTCTGTCTATTACAAATGGTTCCTTATATAGATGTAGGTGTAGTGGGTTAGGTTTAGTGGAGTAGGTGAGGTGGTAGTGGTGTAGTGGGTTAGGTTTAGTGGAGTAGGTGAGGTGGTAGTGGTGGTAGGTTTATTGATAAATTTTAACAGCCCCCCGCAAACTCAAGGAGGATAGAAACTAACCAACTTGAGTTTGGAGAGAGGAACAAAACAAGAAAATAGATAAAAATAAAAGAGGATAGGAGACACTGTATGGTCGTGTCAGACCATTGGGGAAGACACTGGATGGTGGTGTCATAATGTTGTAGAGGACACTGTATGGTGGTGTCATAACGTTGTAGAGGACACTGTATGGGGGTGTCATAACGGTGTAGAGGACACTGGATGGCGGTGTCATAACGGTGTAGAGGACACTGGATGGCGGTGTCAGACCGATGTAGAAGACAGTTTATGGGGTCATGTCGGAGTTGTAGAAGACAGTTTACGGGTCATGTCGGACAGCGTTGTAAGCAAGACAATTGTGTGACAGATTACGGAGTCTGCCGGACCCATGCAAGGAGCCTATACGGAATAATGCTCGAGGACAGTTTACAGAGTCTTGTCGGACCCATGAAGGCAGCATAACCGGAATCAATGTCGGGACAGTTTTACAGAGTCTTGTGGACCTTTTGTAGAAACAACACGGGAATCTATGTAGGGACAGTTACAGAGTCTTGTAGAGACCCTTGTAAAAACTAACCGGAATCTATATATAGTCGGACAGTATTATCAGAGTTCTTGTCGGACCCTTGAAAAGTTGCAACCCTCAAAAAGGCGTGCTCGCCCAATTTTGTTCAAAAGGCGTGCCATCCAAAAGGCGTGCCCAATTCACTCAAAGACGAGCCACAAGGGAGCAGACACGGGCGATGCACAAGATAGATACGACATAGTTGACGCGTGGTCGGCCTCCTTTCGTATCATAGTTTATATAAAGCAATGCGGGCTGAGAGAACATTCCGTGGAAATCAAAACCAGTCTGAAACCTAGGATAACTGGCGGTTGCTGAGAAGAGAAACTCTGTAATACTCTGTAACCAACCCGTCTCTGAAACACTCAGCAACATGGCCTCTTCTTCCCGTCCAGCTACCCAGAACATGGCCTCCTCTTCCCGTGGTCTGCTCACGCTCTTTCCAGAACTGAACGAGTCCACAAGAGAAATAACTGGTGCAGTGGCCAGTGAACCTCAACCAAACACCTCTGTGTTTGCTCCGCTGAACTTTCCGATGCGGTCAGTGGAGCAAAAAATGGCGGTGCAAACTGATATTGAGGCCAATCAGTATACTTTAAAGTCATGTGTGGAGACCATGACGGCGGTCACAAACTTGTCGCACCGGCTGCAGAGCAGGACAAATGAAGTGCAACAGTTAAACTCCCAACTGGCTCTACTCCAGCGCATGTATAAGGATGCGCAAGCAGAGATAAGTGTGCTAAAGACAGAAAACAAGGAGCTGAAGCGGAAGGCCACTGTGATGTTCCGTTTTGGAGGTCCGCCATATGCTGCAGTGGAGGAGCAGGGAGTAGTGATCATGCCCAGTGGAGTGGGAAACACGGAGGCAACACCGGCAAGGGCCGCCTAGGACGGAGGCAAGAAGAAAAGACCGGCGGCAGAGTAGAGAAGAAAATCCTGCCTGTGGATGTGGTTGATTTGTTGTTGTTTTTTGTTTTTTGTTTTTTTTTTGTTTTTGTGGTGGTGTAAAAGTGTGATCGGGGTTGAGCCCCTGATATGAATAAAATGACAAGGTGGTGGAATGTTGTTGGTGTGATTTTGTGAATGTTGTTTTGTGTAATAAGAAAAATAAAATAAAATAAAACAATGGATAAAGAAAATAGAGAAAAATATTTGTGGATGGGGAATAAGAAAAACAAGGGTGTATGTTTTTTTTTTTTTTTTTTGTTATAATAAAATATATATATATAGATATATATTAAAAGAAAAGAAAATGGTGAAATCGTGGGTGGAAGAAAGTAAGGGAAAGGAGGGATATGATTAAAGTGGGTTTGAAAAAGTGGGAAAATGTGATGATAGTGGTGAGTGGAGCATAATGGAGAATAGAAAAGGTGTATATAATAATAAGAAGAAAAGGGAAATGGATCTTTTCTGCTGATGAGGAACTCCCTGAGTGCTGCCACCATGAATTTGAGAAAGATGAGGAACATCTTTTTTCAGAGCCGCATGGGTACCAGGATATCAGGCTGCAGCTTGAGATTGAAGTGAATGGATCAGATTGCTCTAAGTTTAACGAACATAGTGGGGAGTCAAATGCAGTTAATCAGCAAATTCAAGTTGATAAGAAACATGCCAGCGACCATTGTGATGTAGAAGTCGAGGATAGTTGTGTCAGAGCATCTGATCGAAAAGTTGATGCAGCTGTTGGGGAAAATCAACAGATAGAGAAAAACATGGTCACCGGTATTGCTGCTATACATGGAGATGTGGATTATGATGCTGTGAGGAAAATGTTTTTTGCGGGTATGGGTTCATTTGCCAATGCAGACATTGTTGACATATATCGTGGCTCGAGTACTTCAATGCAAGCTCGATTGGAGCTCTTCCACAAGCAAGTTGAAATCACCAAGAAATTTCGTGGGGACGCAAATGTGCAATATGCTTGGCTTCCTTGTTCTAAAGGAGTTCTGTCTAGTATCATGATGTATGGACTTGGGCATTGTGGAACATCCAAAATTAAATCCACGTATGGCATTGGTGTTCATCTTTCACCTGCAAACTGCACTATTACAAGGTCAGAGTTTCTTAACCACCGTTTACATTTATTATAAATTACAGAAGTTATGAATATTGAAAACTGTTGACATAATATGCTGGGAGGAAGATGGACTTTCTCTTCCGTGGGAGAGAGCTGCCCCCAATGTTAAAACTACAATTTAACCTGTTAGGGGCCTGAAGAGATGTAGTAGTGAGTTCTCTCTCTCACCACTATGGTCCATTTGGATTAATAGTTGAGCTACTATAGGTCCATAATTGATGAGGGCAAAATACCATGACTATTATGTTTCTGTAGGTTATGAGCACTGATGCTTAAGTTATTAAGGTTGTTATATTGCCATTTGCCATATTACATTGGTTTAGGTGGTTCACCTTTGCAAGTACGGTAATTGGTCTTCATTTACAGGTTAAAGTATGGTTCTGTTTATCACATGTAATTAGTACATGCATGAGTAGTTGTCTTTCTAGGATCTGCACTGGGTTTAATGGGATCTTTGTTCAGAGTAGTTGGTTAGGAGGCATGTCTACCCACAATGCATGAATCTTTTTTTGAGTTTATCTAACATGGGTGAGACTTTACTGTGTATAATTGCCAAATTTCCTGGCCACTTGCGTTTGGAAGTATATGTGTTTCCTTGCTAACTATTAATTTGACTTTTTGTTTTTTGTTTTTTGTTTTTTGAGTGGGGTCTATAATTCAACAATTTTATGTTATGCTTTTTATATTCTTAAAATGGGCCACAATTAGGGATTTAACTCCTCTTTGCTTCCCTTTGTTTTTCATTTTTACAGTGCAAGCTATTGTGATGTTGACGAAAATGGGGTACGACACATGGTGTTCTGTCACGTAATAATGGGAAATATGGAGGTTGTTCATGCAGGATCTAAACAGTTCCATCCAAGTAGTGAGGACTTTGATAGTGGAGTTGATGATATGCATACTCCAAGACAGTACATAGTATGGAATGTGAATAAGAATACTCATATTTACCCAGAATATGTTGTTAGTTTCAAGGTCTCTTCTGATGCTGAAGGTGATCTTACCCCTCAAGTTTTTTATTTGTTTTATAGCCATTGCATTTATTCGCCATTGCTACATTCCATAAGACCCAATATGTCGCATAACGTACATGCTATTTTGTTAGTTGATTTGTATTACTAACAAATTTGGATGGTCTGGGACCAGTCGATCTCTGCTGGCCAATCTCTTTGAAACAATTCTTCAAAAGCTGCTAGGATTTAAAGAAGTGTTTCTTCCGTCTATGCTTACTCTAGTTGGTTTGGCTAATGGACTTAATTACATTCAAGAGATAGTGCCCTGTGTCTTTGTTGAGGGTGTATCCTTTTCTTTTCTTTCCTTTTTTCTTTTTTTCTCGTTTGATTTTCTCAAACATTTTTAGCACCTAGCACTTGTTCTACTATTTTTCTACAGGGTTACTGGTTGGAAGTGAGAGCAAGCTTGATATTTCAGGAGTCACTACCTGTTCTCAGGGGCCTCAGGTCCAGTTACAGTTGGATCCATCTCTGGCTCAATTAGTAAGCTCACTAAATTTGTTGGAAAGCTTTGTTGTGCTTTCTTTTGGTTTTCTTTTATTATGCTGTTTTCGGTTAGTTCTCATATTATGGTCTCAACTTGAAATTAGGGTAATTTAATTGAGGACCTTTTATAAACTGGGTTTTCATGGTGGCTTTATGTAATTACCAGGTCAACTACGTGTGCTTCTGTTACAGTTTCTGTATAATTATCTGATTGAAGCAGCCATGGCTGCGTTGTGATTTTAGATTTTTGTCATGGCCCTAGTCAGGTCTTTCTCATCAGCCATTGTGTAGTTGGCTAGAACATTCTGAGTGTAGTATGTAGACCTGACGGGTCTTCATATGAATTCTGTAAGTGGGTTAATTTACAATGTCCCATTACATCATGGTTCTGTCCGTCTGACCTTTCCATATTGAATGGAGACCCTTACATCATGGTTAAGTTATAATTCTTTTTTGTTGGCAATCCAAAAAAAAAAAAAAAAAAAAAAAAAAAAAGGGTCCTAAGACCAATGATTGAATGATAGAATATGTTTGTGCATGTACTTCATAAATGTGTCAAATATTAATTTGGGCACAAATATTTTATTATATTTTTTATTTTTGGGTTTTTTGATATGCTGAAGTTTGACAGAAAGAAAAGATTTAAGGCTGGAATTGTTAACTCATTGATATTATGCTATAAAAGATGGCTCGGTGGTGATGTAATGTTTCATTATAAAATGAACTTCCAATTGTAATGTTTGAGATTGAACCAAAATGGGGATAAATATAATAGATTGAAATTGTGATTCTGTATTCTTATTCGTTTCTACTGATGAAACGCACAAAAGAATAGGCTTTATTGATTCTATATGTTCAATTTGTAACTTTCGTTTATGATGCCACTACCTTTATTTATTTATTTTTTTCCTTTTCTGTGTTATGTCATTAGTCCCTGCAAAGGCATTTTTTAACTTTCCATACCCAGCAAGGCCATCACTAATTTCTTTAATGTAGATGTCTTAAAAATAACCAATCCACTAAAGCTTGCTTTGAAGAAGTTGAGGATCTTGTTTAATGTGTGTTTTTCAGATAACATTATAACCTGTAGCTTTTCTAGTTCCATTTGAAAGTTGAAGTCTCATATACACTGAAGAAGGGAGCAGTGTTTTGAAATGATTTTAAGCACTGCAGAATTATTGGCATCTTTTCATTTAGCTGATTTTTAGTAGTAATGGAAGTAGTGTTTTCATTTATGCTATTTTCCTCTTCTATGAATCCAATTGTTAGAAAGATATGCTGGCCACTTAGTTAGGCAGATTTTTATAGTAGATGGAGCTTTGTGATTTAAAGTTGCCAGATGTAGAGAGGGAGTGTATTACTTTACATCAAACTCCTTTCAAAGTGCATGGGAAAGATGTCATTAGTGGTGTTGGGGAGCTGATTCCAACTAATATTTAAGCATGAATATTAAGGATGAAAGAGTTATCCATATCTGAATGTCTCCTCGTGTCATTAGATGTTTATGGGTTTCACTTGTATGGGCAATGCTCTTGTTCTCTGAAAATGTGCATAGGATAGATTAGGACTTTTGAATTCTAAAGGAAAAGTGACTCCAAATGCTAGTGAGTGAGACCAAATGGTTGTTAATAAGTTAGTAAGGAAATCAGAATCCTTGATGAAATACGAAGGGGAGTTAGGAAATGGTGTTAATGCCTAATTCCTTGGATTTGATTAAGGAATTAGGCATTACATATAGCTGACTAGTGAGAATGGATACATGTAGTCAATCCCAAGTATTTGCAAACTTATTGTTAAGTTTGTTGACTTGGGTTGAGGTTTCATGGGCATCTATGCTTAATGTGGGCACCGATACTTTATAAGGAAATTATAAGTTTGTTGATCTTCGGCTATGCTCAGCTGGGGTTAAAATTGATACTTACTGTATTCATTATCTAGTCTAGTGTTTTGTTCAAAGATACACTGATTTTTGTCCCTCCATAGGCACCAAAACACAGGTTTCAAATTCAACATCTAAGCATTTCTCGTCTTCTTCAAATGGTGCCCCATGACCAAAAATATTAAACTAGAGCTCTTAAGCCAGCATAATCCATGTCAATTCAAAATTAGGAAATAGAAATCTCTACCAAATCTCTAGCAACCTTACAATGAAGTAATAGATGGTTTGTTGAAACCTCCACTCCTCATATGACACCCATTTGGAAGCTCAAAAAAACTTTCTATGGTGACTATAGTGTCCAACATTACAGTCCACATGGAAAAAAATAAAAATAAAAATGGACAGCTATGTAGAATCTTTACTTCCAAATATTTTCCTGAGACATTGGAGAACGGTAACATTTTATTGAAAATCTCCTGCTTCACTTTGTCTGATCCTCCCTTTCTGAGATATCCACAATGAAGATCAAAGAAGTTATCCACTGCTTCCAATTCACAATCTTGGATTGCTCAAATGAAGTGAAGCTTCCACACTATACCTGACTTAGAAAACCTTGTGTGATATGAAACAAATGAATTTTTATTGACTGCCATGCTATATGAGTAAAAAAACACTTATCACTACATCATACATCATTCAAATCTCTTGTAGTTTGAACTTGGTAAGGGCAGTTTGTGAACTTGTATGTATGTATATGTTGCTATCAGTTGGGTTAGTTGGTAAGAAATTTAACACTGGAGTGCAGTGCAGGGCTCCCACTTTGTGTGTATGTCCATGTATATGTTGCTGTTAAGTCAAGCTTCTTTTTGCTAAATTTGGTTTGATCTTGTTTCTGATTTTATTACATTTACTTATTCCATCACAAAACAAAGAGTTTTAATTTTAACTATTTATCGCTGGTAAAAAGTTTTGTTCTTGAAGTAAAATTTTGTTAGTTCAACTCCATTATTCTGAGTAATAGAATAGTTTATAGATGACTTGAGGTGGTGTTGAGCATGGACCTGCTGAGAGTTGGCTTGTAGTTTGTTCCTTTAAACAGGCTGGACTCAGGCTGGGGTCTTCCCAGCTGAGATCTGTTCTGTGCTTTAAGCAGCTCAGGCTGATTTCTGTCCTGCTTAGATGGCCTTGATTTTCAGTTAATATGTTATTGTTATCTATCATTGGAGCTTTTGGGATTGGTTATTTTTGCAGAAATATTATTTTTTCTTTAACATCTGACATTCTGTTTACCCCTAGGGAATTAATAATTGCCATCAGGTTCCAGTTGAGAGATGTCAAGAAAGAGCTTCTAATCTGTGTTCAAGCATTACAAGAACTCCTAATTCCCCTTGGATGCCTTTGCCAATGTTGTTTGCAGCCATCTCAAATAAAGTCCCTGTTAATGATATGGAACTAATTGAAACTAATTATGAGTTGTTCAGGGTATGCTCAGTGACAGTGTTCTGATTATTTCTTTTTCATATTTTGATTGGACATTTCCTTATGTTTTTTTGATCTTTTTGTTTGTCAGAGTAAAAAGATAAGTCGGGATGATTTTATTACGAAGTTGAGGTTGATTGTTGGAGATACTTTGCTGAGGTCCACAATAACAAATCTTCAGTCTAAGGTAGGGTCCTCCATAATCATGGTGTGGGACTATGCAATGATCAGTAGCTTTTGATATATCTCAGTTTGATTAATACTTGAAAGTTCGTAGACTATAATTATCTATATGCTTGAGATCTGTAGGTTATTCTGTATTGTAGTTTCATATGTTGTAGAATAGATCTCTTAACGACCTTAATCTATTGACCATTTGATTAAATGGAACTAGCTATTGTTAGCACTCCATTCTCTTGACAGCAGCGTCGTCCAGAAATAATTCTACATTTAGTATGATTGTGTTCACTCATTATTCTTAGTTGTTTTTAGAGTCTGATTGGTTTGACCCATTTATTTTAGGTTGTTTTTGTGTTACAATTTTTCTTTGAAAAAGCTGTTACATATGGAGAATTCATGGTGGTATTTTCTGAAGTTTTAAGCCATTGATTCTGTACCATTTTTTATTGGAATTTGAAGTGTACCACCAGATTTCCATTGAAACTGAAAAATGGCACCAATTGAGAGTTCCAACGTCCCCCCTCCCAAAAAAAGAAAAAAAAGAAAAAGAAAAAGGGAGAAACGAGAAAAAATAAAGAATATATTTTCTTTGATACTGTGGCACTTGGAATAAAAAATAACAAGAAGTAAATTTTATTTTATTTTGTTTTTTCTTTTGATAAGTAATGAGAGAAAAAAATTATAGGGTGCTTTATCACATTTTAAGAAATGAGCTTCTCAAACTTTTGTTGAGGCAAAGGCTTTTGGCCTCCATTATTTATCTGTCAGGTAAGAAATTAGTTGGGTGATCTAGGGATTGAAGGAGAAGCCCAAATCAGAACCTTGTTCATAAATGTCTTAGCTTAATTTTGTATGATGCCAAGGACCTTTCATGCTCCTCTCTTTGGCCAGAAAATGACAGTGGAACTACCATTTTTTAATCAAGAAGTTGGAGAATTTAAGTTAATTTAAAAAAGAAATGCAAATAATCTGGCTTTGGTGGAATTTCTACACTTCCATCCATGGTGATAGCACACATAATGGACTTTGCGCGTTAGACAATGCCTTTTATGAGGACTCGGGAGATTATGTAAAAACATAAAACGAGAAGGTTGTTTAGGATTACATTTAGTTTAAGTGTACAAAATAAAGTCAATGACTTTGCTTCAAGGAAACCTTTAGCTCAGGAGAGGCACTGTCCAGATGGATCGGATCTTCAGTTAGTTTTTACGAAATAGTGAAACATATACAATTCTGAATGTTGAACTGATTCGGGTCTGCTAGTACTAGCAATCCTACCTGGTTGCAACATCCCTCTTGTGGTTTCTTTTGTCTCATGGTCTGCTCATGTTCAACACAGAGACATCGGCGCAAATCCAAATCTTTCTTGACATGTCCTATAGGAGGATGGTGCCGGTTCTACACCAATGGATCATATGTACAGGCTTTTGCAATTCCTGAAATTAATTAGAAGTCTTGCAGAATCTGATACTTGAATTGAGTAATATTCTTGAAATTATGGGAATCTTAAAATAATAACAAAATGAAGAATACTTTGTAATCTTTTCATATATAACTGCAGCTATATTCAGTAAATTGCCATATGCCTGATTATACCATCCAATCCCAAGATAAAGAGTGTCAAATTTGTCCTGTTGATTGTTGATAAAGAGTGTCAAATTTGTCTTTTCGAGATGAGGTCGCCAATGCTGGAGATGGGGAGAGGCGAGCCGGGTTTGACCAGGGCGATGGTCTGGTATGGGGAGCCATGGCTGAGGCCGATACAGAGGGTCGTGATGAATTGGCGCTGGTACTGCAGCCTTTGGCTGTGGATAGGGGCAACCAGGAGGGACTGATGGGTCCAACACAGGTGCAGTTTGAGGACAGTAATGTCTTTGGAAGGAATGGGATACCTGCAGTGGAGGATGTATCAGATTGGGTGTTGAAGCGCATAACTGAGGTCAGTCGGTTATTGGGTCTATCATTCAAAGGGTATAAGGAGGAAGTCTTACGGTTATTTTCTGCCATGGAGGCATCGTGGCGAAAAGGGTCTCCTAGTAACCCAGTGGGTACAGTGGCAGAGACTAATCGTGAAGGGAAACGGGAGTTAAGGAATTTAGTGTGTTCAATCAATTATGTACAGGGTGGGGCACGGGCTGATCGTGGCTCACATAGACGTCAAGGGGTTCCTTTGTTGTTGAAATGAAGTTAAAATTTTTGTTATGGAATGTATGGGGATTGAATGATAGGGACAAAAGGGTAGCCGTGAAGGCAGTCTTGCGAAGTGTGAAAGTTGATGTGGTGTGCTTACAAGAGACAAAGATGGAGGTGTTGGGGTTAGAGGTGGTGCGAGAAATTTGGGGAGGCCGATTTGTAGAGTGGTTACATTTGCCGGCAGTGGGCACGGCAGGAGGTGTTCTAATCGTTTGGGACTCGAGGGTGGTTGTGAAGGAAGATGAGGAGTTGGGTAGCTTTTCAGTGTCTTCTCAATTTCGATGTGTGGCGGATCAGTTCCAATGGGTGTTCACGGGGGTGTATGGCCTAGTGCGGAACGAGGATCGTGGGGAGTTCTTTTTAGAGTTAGAGGCTGTGGCATTTTGTTAGTCAGTGCCTTGGTGTGTGGGAGTTGACTTCAATATGACGAGGTGGCCAACTGAGAGGGTGGGGAGTTCCTGGGAGTTGGGCTGCATGCGAAGGTTCTGTTCTTTTATTGATGAAATGCTGTTGATTAACATGCTGCTTTAGGAAAGGAGCTTTACTTGGTCGAATGGGCAGAGTTTGTCTCGGATTGATCGATTTGCGATTGGGAGGAACATTTTTCGGATGTTGTTCAAATTCGATTGTCTCGTTTAGTGTTTGATCATTGGCCTCTTTTACTCAATAGTGGGGGGGCTCCGCAGTGGCCCAACTCTTTTCCGTTTTGAGAACATGTGGTTGCATTCGGAGGGTTTCTTGGAGATGGTTCGGGGGTGGTGGAACTCTTATGCAGTTACAGGGTTGCCTAGTTGCATGTTGGTGCAGAAGTTGAAATTGCTTAAAGGGGATCTGAAACGCTGGAATAGGGAGGTTTTTGGCCGACTAGAGGGTCAGAGACAAGCAATGGTGTCCTTACTATCTTCCTTGGATGAGTTAGAGGCTGAAGGGGGCTTATCGCTGGATGATGTTGCTAGAAAGGAGGTGGCTAGACAGGATTATGTTCGTATTTCGCGCATAGAGGAGATGAGTTTTAGACAAAGGTCTAGGTGTTTGTGGTTGAAGGATGGGGATCGTAACACAAAATTCTTCCATCGGATGGCTAATGCTCACCGTCGGATAAATCGTATTAGTCGAATGCGGGTGAATGGGCGTGAACTGGTAAATGAAGAGGAGATCAAGGGAGGGATTGTGGATTTCAGAATTTGTTTCTTCTGCAAGAAGGGGAGTGGCGGCCAGGGCTGGAAGGGCTTTATTTTGATATGATTTTGGCTGAGGATAGGGTGGCCTTGGAGCAAGCCATTACGGAGGAGGAAATATTTTGGGCTTTGCGGGCCATGAGTGGGGATAAAGCTCCCGGTCCCGATGATTTTACTATGGCTTTCTTTCAGCACTGTTGGAGTGTGGTTAAGGCAGACGTGATGGCGGCACTGGAGGCTTTTTTCGAGATTGGGCAGTTTGAGAAAAGTCTTAATGTGACTTTTTGGTTTTGATTCCAAAGAAAGGGGGGTTGAGGACATTAAGAACTTTCGGCCAATTAGTCTTTGTGGGAGTGTTTATAAACTGTTGGCTAAGGTGTTGGCAAATAGACTTTGCGGGGTTTTGTAGAAAGTGGTGTTTGACTCTCAGAATGCTTTTGTGGGGGGGTCGGCAGATTTTAGATGTAATCTTGGTGGCTAATGAGTGTATGGATTCCCAGATTAGGCAGGGGCAATCGGGTGTGATTTGTAAGTTGGATATAGAGAAGGCCTATGATAATGTGCGGTGAGAGTTTTTGTTGTATGTTTTGGATCGTATGGGTTTTGGGAAGACTTGGTGTTGCTGGATTCAGTTCTATATTTCTACTGTGCGGTTGTCGATTATGGTTAATGGTACTCCAGCGGGGTTCTTTCGGACATATTGAGGTCTTCGTCAGGGAGACCCTTTGTCGCCACTTTTGTTTATTTTAGTGATGGAGGCCTTAAGCAGATTGTTGGAAAGAACAGGTCATGAAGGTTTGCTGGAAGGTTTTGTGGTTGAGTCTCCTACAGGAGCATGCCTGAGTGTTTCCCATTTGTTGTATGCCGATGATGCGCTAATCTTCTGTGGGGTGGTGGCGGAACAGTTGGGTTACTTGAGATGTGTTTTGTTGTTCTTCGAGGTTGTCTCAGGTCTTCGGGTGAATTTGGGGAAGTCTGAGTTGATTCCAGTGGGTCAAGTGGAGGGGTTGCCAGTGCTAGCAGCGGTGTTGGGTTGTAAGGTGTTTATCTTGCCGGTGACTTATTTGGGTTTGTCATTGGAGGCAACGTTTAAGGCTATAGGGGTATGGGACGGGGTTGTGGAGTGGATTCAACGACGGTTAACAGGTTGGAAGAGGTAACATCTATCGCAAGGGGGAAGGTAGACTTTGATCAAGAGCCTGTTGAGCAATATTCCGACATATTTTATGTTGTTGCATGTTATTCTAGTGTTTGTGGCGTGGAGGATTGAGAAGTTACAAAGGGATTTCTTGTGGGGTAGTCAGGGTGCTGATTTTAGGTATCACTTGGTGGATTGGGGACGGATTTGTCAACCGAAAGTGGCAAGGGGGTTGGGGTGAGGAGTTTGGTGACTTTTAATCGAGCGCTATTGGGGAAATGGCTGTGGCGCTTTGCTGGTGATCTCGAACGATTGTGGAGGAAGGTGGTGGCTGCCAAGTATGGGGTAAGGTATCACTTGGTGGATTGGGGACGGATTTGTCAACCGAAAGTGGCAAGGGGGGAATGGGGGTCAGGGGCGGTGCTGGGTTTGCATGGTTATGGGTTATGGAAAAGGATCTGGTTGGGGAGAAGGGAGTTTTGGGGTAGGGTGGGTTTTCGAGTAGTGATGGGGTGAGGGTGCGTTTCTGGAAGGATCGATGGTGTGGGGTGGATTCATTGGAGGCTCACATTCCTTTGATCTTCAGTATTGTCAGAGATCAGGAGGCTATGGTGGCATCCTATTTCAGGGGTGGGGAGGGGGTGGTTTGGGACATTACGCTACGGCGACCGGTTCAAGACTGGGAGGTTGATCAACTGGTGGAGTTATGGGGTTACTTGTATGGGTTAGGGGTGAATGGGGTGGGGGAGGATGTTTTGGGCTGGACTGTTGGGGCTAAAGGGTGTTTTTCGGTCTCGTCATTCTATTGGAGCTTGGTGAGGAAGGTGAGGCGGGATTTTCCTTGGAGGAGTGTTTGGGTGTCAGGAGTTCCATCTAAGGTGGTTTTCTTTATGTGGACGGCGGCTTTGAGTAGAAATCTCACGATTGATAACTTGATGCGGCGGGGTCACAATCTAGTGAATCAGTGTTGTATGTGTTGTAATGCTGTAGAGTCTGTGGATCATTTGTTTTTGCATTGTCTGGTAGCGTCCTATGTGTGGGCCTTTGTTTTCTACGGGTTCAGCCGAGGCGGGTGGTGGACATGTTGTGGAGCTTGCGCGGGGCTCGAGTTGGGCGTTGACAGCGGCATGTGTGGATTTTGGTCCCTTTTTGTTTGATGTGGTTAGTTTAGTTGGAACATAATAGACGCACGTTTCAGGATATTCAACGCAATGTTAGTTGGATTGAGAGTCGCCTTCTGGTTGTTTTGTATGGTTGGTTAGAGATGAAAATTGATCCGGATATGTTTAGTTTTTTAGAGTTTCTGGATGGGGTTATAGGTTAGATGGTGTGTTTTGCCCTCATGGGGATTTTTGTATTCTTTACATCATTTTGATGCTTTCTCAATAAAGTCCGCATACTTATTTATCAAAAAAAAAAAAGAAAAGTACTGTTGATGGTGGCATTTTGAGTGTTGTGTCTTTAATGTTCCAATTACCAAGTGGCTGTCCTCAACAATTTTGGTCACTGAGAGAACAGGATTTAGAGAGAGATTCAAATCCTTAACTGAATGGGACTTGTCACTCTTGACCACTGATGGCACTGATTGTACATAAGTGAAGTGAGTTTTATGTAAAGAATTAGCAAATAGATTCCAAAGGTTTATTGCCTAGCTTGGTTTGCTACTCTTAATGGCTTTATGTCCAGCTGGTGTATGTCTGAAATTTGTTTGAATGGAATGAGTAAGCATTGTATAACCCTTTTTTTCTTTTGTTGGCTCAATTTTTTTTTCCCTGTTTGGTGCTGGGCTGTCTAATCAAATCTTTAGGAGGAGAACTTAATATGTAACATAAAAACCCACTCATAATTCATCAATCTGTGGATTAGGATATAGTGATCTTACCTTGTCAAGAATTCTGTGGTTAGTGCAGTAATGTTCTTGTTATTGGATGAAGTCTTCAAGCATTTACATCTAAGGGTTCACGTTATTGCTGTTGCTAGTTTGCAACATATGTAATTGTAATAATAGGTGGACAACCTTTTATTTTCTTTATTTCTTTCTTCTTCTTCTGTTGTTTGTTTGTTGTGTGCAGAGAAAGATACTAGTCACACACTGATTATTCAAGTACGCTTATGTCGGGGTATTATCCTCGTCCTCCTATTTTCAATACAATTGCGTAATTTTTGTTGGTGCATGATTCTTATCAGGAAAAGAACAAAATTCTATGTGGAAATGATGCCAAGCAGTGTTGTGAAAAGGTTGAATTTGGTGTGGATCAGGTAAAGGCTGATATCAAATCTAATTGCTCTTAAATACTTGAACATGAGTTTAAATTTGATAAACTATTTAGAACTATGACTTTAAAACTCGGCCTATCAATCTTGAGGTTGTGGGTTCATACTTTGAAGCCAGCCACTTTCTGCAAATTATGCCATAAGGTTAGCTCTATATCTAATCTACCCCTCCCGGAACCCATTTGATGGGGGAGCTAAACTGTAAGGCAAATTATGCCATAAGGTTAGCTCTATATCTAAGCCATAAGGTTAGCTTTATTTTGATCACTTTGATTTGAATTGAAATTTGGGTTTCATAAGGTAGATTTGTGTATATGGTTCCAATTTAAGTGAATTATTTATATAGGAAAAATTTATCTTAGTATATTATATTACTTGAATTTAATTTATATGGGTTCCAGTTTGATCTATTTATAATCAAATTAGAATTGTTTTATATTTGGGTTGGCTTTCAATCTTGGTTGTGCCCATTGGCAGTCTTAATGTTAGTTAATTATGAATGTTGGTTTCTTCTTCTTCCTCCCTTTTGTTTTCTTGTTGGATGAATGTTAGTTAATTAAAACTTTTAGACCGCTGACTCTTGATTGCAGTGGCAGAGCACCACATGGAGTGGGGGCACGTGCCCCCTCTCAATGTTTTGAAAATCACACTTTTACCTCTAATTGGAAAATGCTTTTCAATTAACTCCCTTTTAACTTTCAAATATGCTCCTAAATCTTTATATCTTATCTTTCTTTTATTTTTTTAAAATAAATTTCTTACAATTTGCCACTATAAATGTTTAATTTTGTCAAAATATTTTCTTATAAATTTTATGTTATTTTTTCTCTCTTCTCTATTTCTCTCTCTTCTTTCTAATGTTTTTCTCTAAATTTATGTTTTTTTGTATGCATGTGATTGCATTTTACATTGTGATTATCATGATATTCAGTACTGAAATAGAAAATCAACTACAAAAAAAATTATTGGTTAATTCAAACATAACTCTTGACATATAATTTTGACATTATGTTGATCTTTGGTTGTTCTATCACCAAATGGAAATTGGATCCGTTTAGGTTGTGATTGATCTTGCTAAGGATTCGACTTAATGGTACCCTCCATGAATCAAAATCTTGGCTCCGCCACTGCTTGATTGTGCGTAAATTTGTGCAGTTTGTATTTGTTCATGCATGTGAAAGTACCACTCAGGCTTGCTTCATAGTTTATACTCAAGTTTTCCCAGTGGTAGCATCTTTCATGGTTGTTTTCTCATTGATATCATATTTTCTGCCCATTTGGAAGTGATTAGGAAAGTTCTGGAGGTTTCTTGTTTCGTAATTATTTAAGAAAACATTGTGAGATAATTGGAGTTTCTTGTGATCTACATATTATAAAATGCAGTCATTAAAAATAATAATAATAATACAAAAAAAAAAAAACTGCTTTTCTAGTTTAAGAATGATGTATTGATGAGTGTTGAACTCAGGAACTTAAGAGACCCAAGTTGTCATGGATCAACGAATCTCAACTTCTTTCCATTAATGCAGGCTCTTTGTTGCTCTTTTTGCAGGTAATGTCAAAATCTAAGAATGAATTGGGTGCATCTAAACTGGTAGAAAGTTCGGGTGGCCTCTAATTGATCACATCTCTACTTTTGGTATGGTCTGTTTGGCTCTTTAAAGACTGCTGTTTTTTCATGTATCCGAAGGCTACTTGATGTTTTTGTGCTAGAAATGCGTCGACGTGAAGATGTGAATATTTGGGTAGACCTGCTTGAATAGCTTCAGGTTTGAAGTATTATGGAAACTGGTTTAAGTTTTTCCTTCCCTTCTTTTCTTGATATTAAACAATTATCCCCGGCTTAGTGAACTGATATATTGTGATTGGTGGAACTCCTTTTTGATTTGCAGTTAATATTTATCTGTTTGTGATTCTTCCATTTGTTATTTTGCGTATATGTTTTTGCTTAAATGACGTAATCAGTTTTTTGATAAGTATAGTTCTTGGGCTATATCTATTCTGTGGGTTTGTCCTTGAGCTACCAGCAACAGTTAGTCGTGTGTGAAGATATTGCTCGGAAGCAACTCATGGAGGATGACTTCTGCATGAACAGTCAGGTCTGTTTCTTTTAGGAAGAAAACTGGTGTCCTTAATGATGCGGGAGTATGTCCATGCTGGACACTATATTTCTCTAAATTTAGCTTTTCCATACACACAAGTCAGTGTTACAACTTACAGGACATCTACATTGGAGTCCTGCTGTATTGATTTCCCTGGTGCTTTTAATCTTTCATCAAGGGTGTAGCTAATATTATTGTTTCTGCAAAAATTCTTTAGGCATCTAACAGGTATTGATATCTCTAGTCAACTCGGTTGTCGAGGATCAGAGCTTGTAGTAAATGATTGTGGACCTGAAGTTTTTGGATGCGTTTTTAATCCATGACGGTGTCAGATGATATTATTATTATTATGTTTTAATTTCTAAGGTTAATTATTTTTCTCTTTATCTTTACTGCCTGAGTTGGTAATTGTAGGAGAGTAAATGATGTCCTTTAACCTGCTTGCGGCCATATATGAACATATGTCCAGTGATGTCTCCTCTGAAAAATGGAGTTGGTCCGACTTCTAAGGGTAGCCTGAACCCCACCATTACAGTCCATCCTAGAAGCTTCAGAATTGGGGTGGGGTATTAAGAGAGGTAAATTTATTTTTGTATTTTCAAGAACAAAATTTTAAAAATATTTTCTGATGTTTGGGAAGTCAAATGAAAAAATTTTTTAGTTATCAAAGAAATCCTAACACCATCACCACTGTCACTGACATCCTATCATCATTACCATCACCGCACCACTGACATCATCACCATCCACACTAACAGTGTGTCCGGATCCTCTGCCATGGTCTCTGCAGTGCTTTCAAATGACGTTGTTTTGAACATAGTTCCCTCCCCCCCTCCCTGCCCCTCTTTTCTTTTCTCTCAGCTCTGAAATCAGAGAGACAAAGAGGGACGGGTGGTGACATGGCAGCAGAGACTCCAATGGTACATTATGGCAAGGGATTGATACCGAAATTTTCACTTCTTTGAAACTGGGTGTTCTTAAATTCATAATCTAGAGTGTTTGCCGTATATGGGTTGTTGACAAATTTCAAGCATCTGGTTTCATGGATCAAAGGCCTTGTGATTCAGAGGGTTAAGTCTTTAAAGGGTTGATTAAATTTTTGGTTTCCCCTGTAAATTTTATCTCAGTTTGATCAAAAGCTCGAATTCCAACTCTCAAACCCATTACCATTGACAGAACGATCACTCATACTATTCAAACCACTAAACCATTACAATTTTTATAAGAAACCCCAAACCCGTCATTCAAATTCTCAGTTTCCGCACAATTTTAATATCTAAAAACACACCCATTGTCATTATGAACAAAAATCTAGAGCCTACAGGGCTTATCGATCGATTTGAGCTTGTTAGAGCTTGTCAAACTCATTTATCACGCAACCAGCGTTGTCATCCAAAGTGCTCAACACCACAGGGGCTTCATTGTCGTTGATTGGGAGTTGGTTAAGGTCCAAAATCTTCAATTGGAGCCTTGAAAAGCTGATGTAAATTATTGGGGTGGTTGGGTTGCCAAAATGGAGTTGGAGGAATTGAAATTGAAAATGGATGAGAGAGAGAGAGAGAGATTGGGGATGGGAGGGTACGTGGCCTCGCTGCTACAGTAGTTGTCGCCCATCCCTCTTCATCACTCTGGTTTGAGAACTGGCCAAAAAAAAAAAAAAAACTATTCCAAAAAAACGTAGTTTGGGAAGCATGGCAGGGATAGGAAACCATGACAGAGAATCTAGACTCCACTAACACAACCACAATTACGAATATTAACAATCAGTCATCAAGATTTTATGGATTCGCATCAAAACATTGTAAAAGATTTAATAAATCGGTAATGATTGGTGGCCACAAATTTTGTGGTTCAAATGCACCGAAAATACTAAAAACGACGTCGTTTTGAGTACAAAATAACTCCAAAAATGTCAAAACGACGTCATTTTGGCATTTTCGGGCCATTTGAGCCACAAAATTTGTGGCCACCAAACATTTTCCTTAATAAATTCAGATTGCTTGTTCAGTTTATTTTCAACAAACTTAAGTACCAAGCCACATTTTGCGAGGGTGTTCTTTGCCAAGCCTCAAGCTCTTAGTTGCTGATGATGGTATTAAACTATCCAAAATGTGGTAGAGGGTTGATAGTATGCAACTAGGGCAAAATATGAGTAATACATCTGCTTCAAACTTTACACGAGGAAACTTTGCCCTTCTGGTTAACCATGCAAGTATATAGATATATCATTACACTATATGGTTTCCTTCAATTCCCCCCCACAAAAAAAAAAAAAAAAAAAAAAAAAAAAAAACTGAATTCATCAGTTAAAACTGAATATATTTAGTGAAAATAAATTAAATATATTTTGATAATCATAATTGGTACCACTTTTAAGTACCTCCCATCTAAAAGAAAATTAAGTACTTAAAAATAAGCTTAAAATAATAAGAAAAAATTACAAATTAATGAATGATCTAAATTGTTACAACATTATGACTTTTGGTGTTGACAACTTTGTCGGCTGCCTTTTTATAATGGAAATTTGTAAGGTGTATTGCTGAATAAAATATGCACTTTAAAAAGTAGCAAAGCTCAATCCTAGAGCCACACGGTTCCCCATTGCTTAATGGATTCAGAAACAAATACAAAGATGAATCATTAGAGTCAAAATTCACAAGAAGCAAAATCCTTCAATATTACCAATTTTTGTTTGTATTGTACATTAATCAGTTCTATGAAATGGGAGGAGAAATATCACCTCCAGTTGACGGGTCCCATCCGGGAGGTCTGATGTTTGGCCAATCGCCTCGACATCCCAGCCTTATGTATAAACTTTTCTTACCTGTAAAAAGCAGTAATTATAATGGTCACTACAGATTGCTTTAGTATTTATTCATAACCAAAATGTAAACAAAACCTTCACCAATCATATAAATCAGCATGGAATTTAAACGAGGGGGTGAATAGGCACCTGGAAGCTTTTTGTCTGACAGAATCAATTGTTTCAGGGCACTCAATGAAGCCTGAGCAACAGATTTAGCATAGTCAGGATCCCAACCCCCAAGCTTGACTATCACATCTGCGTTCGAGTAAGCTTGATTACCATCTTGGACAGTCCTCCTGGCCTCCTCTTTCGCTGAATCTTCATCTGCATTAGTTTTGCAATAAGAAAGAGAATCGCTATCTACAATTTGTATTTGGTCCATGAGCAGATAAACAACCAAGGAATAGCCAGTTAATTCCATAGCTGAAATGGTGATCTTTAAGTACTATAGCTGGACATAAACGGAGGGGGGCATCAAATGATATCCAAATTGTCATCCAAAAAATTGTTGTAGTTTAAAATGTCAGCAAAGCATTCACTGAAAACAGAAAGAGTTAGATGCCAATCATGTCACCACGAGCACACAAGGAGTTCAATTTTTCCAATGTGATGCATGCAGCATAGATGGTCTATTCTGTTTAGGGTGTGATAACTTTCATGCCTGATGTGAACTTAAAGAGTCCAGATACAAATACTTATCTGGAAGTTTTTCAGCATATTGGATTCGTTAGCTAATTAAAGAGACGGGGGGAAATGAAGAAGTTTAAATGGCTTTCAGAACTCAGACCCAATCTAACATATTTAGTAATCAGATGGAATTTAAGATCACAAGTGCATGAATAAACTTCTGTGGGTTCCAAAGATGATCTAACTCCTAATAACTAAAACAACTCCCACAGAATTGCTTTCCCAAATGAATTAATCAATGAAAGATTTAACGTATTACCTGTTGCTTCAGACTGAGAAAGCCAGACAGTAAATCCTGCATAAAGATGCCGCCATTGATCACTTCTTCCAGCAGCACCATGCTGCCCTCCTATTGTTGTGATGACAGTACGGACATGACTGCAAAGCCAAATTAAGCATGTGTAAGATGCTTTGACATTCCAGACCTGAACGGAAACAATCAAATCAAGCCAAAGTCATACCTACTGAGGCTTTCTAATATAGCACTTTCTGCTTTTGCAACAGACTCAGATCCCTCTGCAATCACCCCTGGAATTGATTAGACTTGTTAATGCGCTGCAAGATTGGGGATAAAAGTCACTTTGCGCAGTTTATGTAGTATGTTACTTTGACATATAACACACCATCTGAACAGGCCATAACTCCAAAAAGTTTTCTTATAATGCAGCTGAGTATCATCATCATCATCATCATTTTCACTAGTATCAAAAGGAAGGATGGACCCTATTTACATGAGTAAAACCTAATCTGAAACTACTTTTAGTTAAAATTCTAAGATGATGTCAGTTAAAAAATAAAAGCAAATTTGTGTGCCAACCATTTGGAGGACCAAAATGAAGTTTTGTGCATTGCACGATAAGCAAAGCAAATCCCAACATAATTCTCAAAAGATGCATGCCATAATCATAAACAGTTAACCTCCAAACCATCTACAAATCATGAACTTACATCATGAAGCTATGGGGATGGATGAACACAAATCATTAGAATGAGAAAAAATAGTACAACCATACTCACATGAATCAATTGTTTGCTTGGCATACATTTCCAGCAGCTCTTTCGTATTAAGTGGTGTATACCTGCCACACATATAACCAAAGAGGACAAAGCTTAAAACAGAGGAGATATTCAAGCCCAAAGTAAAAAAGTCTTAGAAAGACTCTCCTCCATTACTTAACTAGGACAAAGTCGAGTCAAAATCACTTAACTGAGTTCATAAAAACTACTGGAATTACCATAAAAAATTAAGTAAAATCTTGAACCCAGACTGAGTCCAGCAGCCAAAAGCATACAAGTACAACAATAATGCACATGCTTGAAACTACTTTTATTCTTTATTTATTTATTTAAGATGGGTTCAATTTAGTGCAAGGTGATTCAAATTGGTGATCATATCATTATGTAATATAATCATTATCAACATTATGTAGTTAAAATGTAAAGTGAGGACGAATATAACAAACATAGAATATACTAATAAAGGCTATGCAAAAAGGAACAACATGAATGGAAACATTGATAAGATTATCTCATCAGACAAATAGATCCACGAGCAATTTTTGTCCTTTGAATGCAAAGAATGAAAGGCAATACCCAAGACCAACAGCTAGTTCTCGAGCAATTTTTTCATTGATTTCTGATGAATCCCCAACTAAGTAGATTGATGTTCCTTTCAAGAGCTGCATAACTCCTACAGTGAGGGACTCCCAGGACTCGATGATATCAGGCCATTTTAAATCTGGGTCTTGTTTCTTCAAATTAACTACCAGTTGATCATCATCCATATACCTGAGGAACAAATAGACTTCAATTCAAACGTGTGATGATTGGTGACTAAGAACACCCATATATGATTGATTGTACAGACCATATTGTTTCAGCAGGCTTAATCTTCTCGTACAGACAAGTAGTTTCCATCAGAGTCTTGAGAGACCCAGAGTGCTGTACTCTGATTGTTAAAGAGCTCTCTTCCGCATCCACAAATATATCTCTAGAACTTTGGATATCATGGCCCCCAAGTTCTAGTCTCAACTCCACCTCAGTGGGACCATCCAAAAACTGCATCAAACATCACAATTTAACCGTCTTTTTGAGGATAAATCCAATTTGGTAAAGAAATTGATATACCGAAGCAGAAAATGGAATGATAGATGAAACAAGACCCTTATTTCCCACATCTTCTTTTGATAACTGAGATACCAGAAACAGAAACCATACAAGTTTAATGCTGCTCAAGACCACAAAATAAGTAGTTACCAAGTCTGCCAAGCATTACTGGTTTTGAAAAGTACGAGTGGAACACCAACTCTTGTGAAATGTGTATACATGCACATTGCAGCAGAGTTTGTTTACGTACTTTCAGCAGCAATCATAGCTGATGGTTCTTTAAAATAAAAATTACTAAGAATGTAACTGAATCATGAAATCAGTCTAAGAAGATCATCAATACATGTATTAATAACAAAACTTATATTCTTTATTAAAAAAAATCGATATGGTATAAAACATTAGAATTTCTTTTATAAAAATAGTAGTTTCAGTATATACACATAGGAAACATAATTAAAACTCAACTAACAAATTGATAAGGTCTCACTTTGAAGCTAAGTTCAATGCATTTATCCTAAATTTTGTAGCTTTCTCAGTATTTTATAGGCACATACGACCATTGCCATCAAAACAAAAGCTCAAAAATCACTCAGTAAAGTTTTTATGCAAAGAGGAAAACATTATGGCCAATCATGACAATATATGTCAAGTGGACTCATTTTGACATTATAAAATAGTACAATATTAATCAAGCATTCTTTGGCATATAAACTGTAAACAAGAACACAATATTAAGATATATACATATACAAATTGATAGGCATATAAGAGTGTGTGTGTGTGTGTGTGAAAATCAACAAAACATCAAGGGAACTCAGACAACTACTTAAAACCTAGTCTAAAATTCAATTTATTTCAATAAATCAGGGGAGAGAGCAATCAATTGTTTGTTTGTTCGATGAGAAAATCAAACAAAATTTATTTTCTATGCCATTAACAATTTCCGAACAACCAAACAGAGCGATCACAATTAACGAGAAATTCAAATGATGCTATAATTACCTCGTAATGAGTGGTGCTAGTGGAGATGGTGGAAGTGCATTTGCAGAGAAGGCGATTGAGTTTGTTGAAGATGTCGAAATGGATCGAAGAAAAACGGGGAATTGAGGAAGAAAGAGATGTAATAGAAGAAGAAGAAGAAGAAGAAGAAGAGGAATGATTAGGTTTAGAGATTGAGAGAGAGGTCTTTTGGGGCCAAAATTCGGAGGTTTTGATTGAATTTGCAGTGAAGCAGCAGAGAGTGGTCGTACTAGTAGAAGTTGTCATTTCTGCTTCTCTGCCAAATTTGAGTGGATAAGACCCCAACTTTTAATGCAATTACTTGGTTTATACACCGCTTGCTGGTTCCTCTCTCTCTCTCTCTCTCTCTCTCTCTGGGGGAAGAGATATTGCTCTTGTATATTTACTTTGGTCCCGTTTTGACAATTTTCACTTTTAATTAAAAAATTATTATAAGTTGTTAGAGAATTTTATAAAGTTGATTTTTTAGTTTTTTTTTTTAAATTTATTTAGTTTTTTTTTTTGATAAGTTATGTGAGAATTGATGTGACTTAAAGTGAATTAAAAGTTAAAAGTTGATTTTTAACCAACTTCTCAAAAGAGGTTAAAAAAGACAAAATAGACTACAAAAGTTAGCTTTTAACCAACTTTTCAAAACATCCCAATGTGCACATTTTAAAATGATATACATTGTAAAAAAATTGTGATTTTTATGATGAACGTTATAATTATTTGTGATGTGTGTTATTATATTTAGTCCTAAAGTTATGAATATTGAATTTATGATGTGTATTCTAAAATTAAGGAGGATAGTGTTATAACACTTTGTAATTTTTGTTATGACATTTTTCAGTTAAGAAAAAAGTTATGACTTTTGTAGTGAAAAAATTATGACATTTTGTGTTTAAGTTATAAAATTTTACAAAAAAAATTATGAAAAGCATACCATATACACCTTTTTGAAGGTGCATATTATAGCATTACCTTAAGCTGTTACATCATTTTTTCTATTTTTTCACAATTTTTTTTTATAAAAAGTCAAAAAATTACTAAAATAGTATGTTTCCAAACAAGGCCAAAGGGCTTAAAAGTTAGACTTGTTATATGTCAAGAAGATTATTGTTTGATAATTATAGAATAGATTCAGTGATTTGTTAAGAAGATAATTGATTAATAATATCAACTAATTATCTTCTTGACAGATTATTAAATTTTAAAAGTAAATTTTTATATCATTTTTCATTTACTAATGATCATTTTATGAAAAATTTTAATATACACATTTAGCCTCCGTTTGGAAAGTGGGTTGGTTTTTTGATTTTTTTAGCTATTTTAGCCTGGGCTAAAAAACTTGGTTTGAGAAGAACTTTTTGACTTTTTTGACTTTTTTTGTGAGAGAAGAGTGTAATGATTATGGGTTGGATGTGATGTTTTGTTTGTTGCGGCTAAAATAACCTATTTTGTCTTTTGTGGTTAAAATAACCAAAAAAGCTCTTGCCAAACTAAGCCTAGATATTGCTCTTGTATATTTACTTATGATCATTTTATGGGAAATTCTACTTATATACGTTCCTTGAAATATATATGTATTTTTAATTATATTATTATTATTTTTTAATTATCAAAATATTTTAGTTATAATTCATTAGATTTTTAGTTATATTTCATATGATATTTGGTTATGATTTTTTTTGTTTTTGTTTTTGACTTTTTGTTTTTTTATAGTTATGACTCAAAAAGTATATAGTTATGACATTTTTTTTTTTAGATATAAGGGGTATATAGTACACACTTTTTGACGGAGTGTATTTCTCTAATTTTATGCAAACCATGATTCAAGGTCTAACGCCTATTTTGGCAACCCAAAAAAAAAAAAAAAAAATTACGGGTGTGTTTGGTTTGTTTTTGAGAGAGTGATTTTTAAACCACCCCCTTTGACCCCCTCTCTCTCTCATTGGTTACCTTTTCTTTTTCTTTTTCTTTTTTTTCCTGCTCCTCCAATCACCACCTGCCACGTGGCAAAAGGGGGTGAGGGGGTGACTCCCAAAAGGGGGTCCCAAGCATTATTCTATTTTGAAAGTAGTTTGGGAGTTTGGGATGATTTGATATTTTGTTGTAATTGAATAGATGTGTGTGAGAGAAAAAGTGATTGAGAAGGAGAGATGAGAGAGAAAAAGTGATTGATTGATGTGTAAAAGAGAGAAAGTGATTTTGAAAATTTTTTGAGAAAAATCACAAACCAAACAAAATTTTAGAAATTTTTTTCTAAAACAACTCTCACAAAAACAAGCCAAACATCTTTTTCTAAATTTTTTTTTGTCTTTAGTAATTTTTTTTTTCAAAATTATATGGAAATTTTTTACTTTTCCGATACTTCTTGTCGAGACGAATCTAAAAAGTATATTTTTTTAAAAAAGTTTCCAAAAAAAAATAAAATAAAATCACTAAAGACGAAATAAATCAAAAAAGATTGCTTATTTTGTTTTATTTTTTGTCTTTTTTGATTTTATTTTTTGATTTTTTTTAAAAAAGTCATAATTTTTTAGTTTGTCTTATTAAGCTGAATCTAGAAACCTAAAGTTTTTAAATTTTTTATTTATTTATTTAAAATTCAGTAAAGACGAAAATAAGCACACAAAAAACAAAAAAAGCCAAAAAATGTCATTCCCAAAACACCCCTAAGTTTTGTTATATATATATATATATATATATTTTAAATACTAAAACCTATTTTGTGAAAATAAACATTAAAAGATGTTTTTAAATTTAAAAAAAATATACATTTTAAAATTATTATTATTTTTTCATCAAATTAACTTTAATATTAAAAAAATACATTTTAAAACAAAACATATTAGGCACATAATTTCAATTTCAATTTCTAACATATTAGGTTTTTTTTGGTTTTTTTTAACAATTTTAGTAAGAGATGAATAGAGCAAAGGAAAGTTGCCTCACACAACAAACAAAATTTGAACTTACGTATCACAAATAATGAAATATCTTATCCATTAAGCCAATTCTTGAGTTGCAGCATATTTTAAAATTATTATTATTTTTTCATCAAATTAATTTTAATATTAAAAAAAATACATTTTAAAACAAAACATATTAGGCACATAATTTCAATTTCTAATTTCTAGACACATGGCACTGAGACACCTTGACTGATAAATGTACTTGGAATTCACTATTTTTTGTCAACAAGTAAAAAAATATGATGAGAAATAAATTGTGTATAACATTTTCTCTTCATGATTTGCAACTTCTGCACCATGCTAGATGAGGAACAAAAGGTTTTTTTTTTGGTTTTTTTTAACATTGGCCTCGTTTGGGAATAGGCTAATTTAGTAACTTTTTGGCTATTTGATTAAAAAGGTAGGTAAAAAAAACTTGTATGTTTGGGATGACTTTTTGACTAATTACGAAAAGATGTGCAAAAAGTAGAGAGAAAAGAGAATCTTTGATTTTTTTGTATGAGTTGTTGGCTTTTTGACTAATTTAATAACTTTTGGCTAATTGGCTAAAAAATTAAGTCCCCAAACAAAGGAAAGTTGCCTCACACAACAAACAAAATTTGAACTTACGTATCACAAATAATGAAATATCTTATCCATTAAGCCAATTCTTGAGTTGCAGCATGTAACTAATATGATTTGAATTCAAGTATCACAAATAAGACTTCAATTCAAGTGCCACAAGTAATGGAACACCTCATCTACCAAGCCGATTCTTAAATTATATCATGCTACAAATAAGATTTGAATTCAAATATTATAGGTAGAAATTATTTTGAGTGAAGTCATTTTCTCTTGGGGCATTTCATCATCATTTTACATATTTGTGTAAAGAAACAATATTTTGGTCAATTACTTATGATCATTTTATGAGAAATTCTAATATACACATTTCTCGAAAGGATATATTATATGTATTTCTAATTATGTCATTTTATTTTTTTCTTTAATTATAATAATATTTTAATTATGACGCATGAGATCTTTAGTTATGCCTCATGTTCTATTTGGTTATGAATTTTATTTTTATATGACGCAAAAAGTATGTAGTTATGACAATTTTTTTTTTCTTTAGTTATAAGACACATATGGTACACACTCTTTGACGGGTGTGTATTTCCCTAATTTTATACAAACCTTAATTCAAAGTTTAAGTTTTGTTTTAATTTTTTTTAATACTAAAGCCTATTTTTGTGAAAATAAACATTAAAAGATATTTTTAATTTATAATATATATATATATATATTTAAGTTATTATTATTTTTTATCAAATTAATTTTAATATTAAAAAAAATAGATTTTGGAAACAAAATTAACTTGAGTTTAGTTTATTGTCTAAAAAAACCATATTAGGCATAATTTCATTTCCTCATTTCTAGACACATGGCACTGAGACACCTTGACTGATAAATGTACTTGGAATTCACTATTTTTTGTCAACAAGTAAAAAAATATGATGAGAAATAAATTGTGTATAACATTTTCTCTTCATGATTTGCAACTTCTGCACCATGCTAGATGAGGAACAAAAGGTTTTTTTTTTGGTTTTTTTTAACATTGGCCTCGTTTGGGAATAGGCTAATTTAGTAACTTTTTGGCTATTTGATTAAAAAGGTAGGTAAAAAAAACTTGTATGTTTGGGATGACTTTTTGACTAATTACGAAAAGATGTGCAAAAAGTAGAGAGAAAAGAGAATCTTTGATTTTTTTGTATGAGTTGTTGGCTTTTTGACTAATTTAATAACTTTTGGCTAATTGGCTAAAAAATTAAGTCCCCAAACAAAGGAAAGTTGCCTCACACAACAAACAAAATTTGAACTTACGTATCACAAATAATGAAATATCTTATCCATTAAGCCAATTCTTGAGTTGCAGCATGTAACTAATATGATTTGAATTCAAGTATCACAAATAAGACTTCAATTCAAGTGCCACAAGTAATGGAACACCTCATCTACCAAGCCGATTCTTAAATTATATCATGCTACAAATAAGATTTGAATTCAAATATTATAGGTAGAAATTATTTTGAGTGAAGTCATTTTCTCTTGGGGCATTTCATCATCATTTTACATATTTGTGTAAAGAAACAATATTTTGGTCAATTA